CATTTCAGGGGAAAAATGCTTGCCGTGGAAACCAGGTGCAGTTTAGGACGTTTTGAGGCTCATTTAACTCGAGTAAAAGCAAAAATCACTAAATATGCAACGTTTCCCTTCGCTGTGGGCTTGAGCATTCTTTATTGCAATAGGAAGCATCGCCAATAGGTGTAGAAGCAATTGTCAAAAGAAACCGACTTAAAAGCATGTTTTTTTCGCGTGGAAAAATCCTGCAGGTAAATGATTGATACTTCGTAAATACCGCAGTTTTGTTGCTGTCTATTATCTATAACCCAAGGAAAGCGAGGAAATTCATGATCATATTGCATTTGCAGGCCGTGTTTTGCATAACTTTCTTTAAAGTGGTCAAGCCCTTCAAAATTGCATCTTCGTTCAGTCGTTTATTAAGCAGAGCTTTGTATCCTTGCAGTTGATAAAACAAAAGAGAGATTTTTATCAGTTTTGAACTTAAAAATTCTTTTTGAGTAAATAAACAAGGGACAATATAGTTCTAATAACTAGAGTGTTTGTGGAAATTAATTTATAATAGTGTGTGTTTTTTGGAAAAGTCAGGCGACCTTCAATTTATTTGTTGTATAACATAATCAAGCTGTCTCCAGGTGACACCGATGAATTTTTAATTTTCACAGTGTTGTGAATTTTGTCATTTAGCTTCACATGATTTGTCCTCAGGCTTCATAAACGGACTGCGCAAAGCAATCTAAGGGGTCCAGACAAACATTTAGTCTAAACACAGTAAGAGAAAATATGTGATTAAGCCTGGAGGTTTACTGAAATACAGACCATTTCTGCACCTTCATTAAAACTTTAATTTTCTTTTATGATAAAATGCCGACAATTTGCGATTATTAATTTTTTTTTGTCTTAAACATGGGAGTTGAAAAAATTGCAATCAGCTAATGATATCTGGCATATTATTTTCTTTGGTTGAGCCACCCAATAATTTTCAAAACGAAATTGAAGCCTTTTTTCTACGCAAAAAAGGTCTAAAATTGGCACAACCCGTAGAACTGCACACTTAGTTGGTAGATTTTAATTTTACTAGGAGATATCTTATGATCACCAGATTTTGTTTTGACTGAGCTCGTCTGATCGATAGTGATTCCATGTAAGCGATTGTTGTGGAAAATAAGAAAAGGATCATGCAAATATTTTACTAGAAGTCATTTCAACTTGGTTAGTCTAAGGTTTGTATAAAACTGTTCTTCAATTAAATTGCAAGTTCAAGACTAGAGACGTGTGAAAATGAAGCAAAGCACAATGCCACGCCAAGGCGGCCATATTATCTAATCTGCGATTTGGCCACTCCATCCGACTCGATTTTGTCGTCAGATTTATTGGTCTTTGTTAGTAATTTCCCATCATTTTAAAGTTCCACTGTGTTATAATTAACCAAAACTACACGGCAAAAACCGATTTCTAGTCTACCTATACTGTTTCCTTTTCGTTTTGCGTTATTTTACGAATTGCACGGTTATTTCCTAGGTTTTGGCTGTGACTAACCAGATAGCTAGCGATAATGCTGGAAAGAATACCAAGGAAGCCTTGTAATTTGTTCGTAATGTCTTTCTAGTCATGCCCGCCGACTTTGCAAGAAACTACCATATTAACATAAGCAAAAAGAAATAAAGTTTGAAAGTAGTAATGATTATGGAAACAAAGAACGAATGCAAATAAAATCAGTTTGAGGTTTTATACTACTTCTAAACAAGAGGTAGATAATGGTTAAATCTGAAAGATTTGCCGATTAGAGGTTTTTCTGTTTCATACATACAAAAAAACCGATTGAAAATGAATTTTCTATTCACCCTACTGTCAATATTACACGCCTAAGATAATACTGTTTGAAAAAATTACCTTCAACTACTAAAAACTGAACTTTCTCCCTCATCGTTTTCTCCGTCGATGGTAAATAAGTATCACTGTTACTATTGTGGCTTCTTCTCCTATTCAGACTAAAAAAAAAATCAAAATCGTACATTAATCGGGCGTAATTGCCGCATTAAAAATGAAGTTTGTTCATTAGCATTTGCTGACAAGAATTTAATTTATCCTGTCAGTCAGATTGAAAGCAATATGACGGTCAATAGAGAAATGGAAGTGGTTATGAACAAGGCCCTGGACATTTCAATATTAAATTGACAAGTAATTTTGGCTGTAACGAATGGCGGTCTTCTGTTACGGCGGCTGAGATTTGTTAACATGAAGTTGTAATAAAGGATAAAATTGAAGACAAATGAACTTTCAAATTAAAAGTTATTGAAATAGTAGTGATTTAAAAGTTGTCTAAGATTCTCGTGTTTTTGTTTTGTTTTAATCATTACATGAAATTTGTTGTTCCGTGTTCGATTTCGATTAATTTGGATTGATAATATTGGGAATCTATGCACTAGACAAAGGTCGACTTGTGAACGTTTATTGACAAGAAAACATTCATTACTGCGGCGAAATACAACCAGACAAACAATACTTAAGGATATAGCTTTGGCCGTTCTCATTTCCGTGGTTACATAGTAAGGTCGTAATAGTTTTCACTGAAAAAAAGTTCAAAGCTTATGCATCACTTGAAGCTAAGGTTTAAATAAATGTAAACAATGTATCTCAAATGAAAAATCACCCCAAACAGGTCGATATCCTATATTTTTCATTGCTTCATAAGCTGTGTACCGCAGGTTATCTAGTATCAACGGCATTTTGTCTGTTCTTACTACGTACGTACCTTCGAAATTTTGTCCTGAAGATCTTTCGCCAGTGCCAATTTTACGTATTTGTGTACGAAATGTTGCTAAAATTTCGTTCAAGCTAAGTTTTAGTTTGGATGACAAATGCCAAGGGAAACTTCTTCTCAACCATGGATCGCTTTCTTAGTCCCGGAGTTTAACCAAACTTCACCTGACAATGCCTACCGCGATAGTGCAATCACCTCTGTATCGCTGATAATAAGTTCTGTTTTGATATGACCTATACGGCCCCGCCCGCAATTTCGTTACGAAACCATTTGAGAAAAAGTCTGGTATGAGGTCCGTACGCTTCAAGTTATAGGGCCGGAAAAACGCGTAGGGCCCTGCTAGAAAATCTTACTGATCGATGCGGGTTTGCTCCGTCAGAAAAATTCAAAAACACAACGGTCATAGGATAAAATGCGTATTGACTGAGTTAGCTCGGACCAGACGGGAAAATATTTCGCTCTCCGTCAGAACGCACGGACCTCGCGCTGACCTCGAGTCAAGTATTTTTCCCTCCGGCCCTCCCACTTCGTCAATAAGTAGATATTTCTTTAGTGTCCGTTTTAGAGAGGTTTAATAAATAGACTTGGCCAAGGCTAAAGGCGAAGCCCCCGTTAATAAATTCCTAACTTGTAACCATTGCAAAGAGACCTACTTGGAGTTGAGCCAGCGATCAGTTGAAAACCGGTAACTTGTCAGCGGAGAACTCTAAAAAACACGTTACCTTGATGGGTCGACCTGACCCCGCGATATGCTCATGTGATACTGGTCAGCAGATACCCTGTTTTGACAGCTGTCAATTGACCACAACATGGATGTGCAATATCAAGCTGCAGGCTTGCACACGTTTCACCTTGTTTTCCCCGTGGTGCGAACAGGCGGACGTACGGTCACGTGACTACCAAAATTTATCGGATCGATAGATAACCACGTTTTCATAGCTATGGGGCTCCGCTATAGGCGAATCTTTGTTTACCCTTTCTGCCTCATTAACATATGCTCATCATTATCTGATGAAGCGAATAAAATAAAACACCTGAATATTGAGAGAGCATAGCAATTTCAGGTATTTCTGAAAATTTGAGCCCGATATACCGAACGGTTTCGGAGAAATTCTCTTTTAAAAACTCGAAATTTTACAAAGAATGTATGGCTCATTAACGTTTTTGCCACCCAGCAATTGCGCAGTTGTAGATGGCTGATGTTTCCTTCAATATTGCTTTAAATAAGCTGAAAATTGCACAAATTGTTTAAGTTAATCAGCTCTTTCAAGTTTTGAATTTAGTTCGTATATACGGCCACGGCTTCTTTGAGTTAAGTCGTATGCTAATGAGGAAAAATGTAAACAATGACGTCAGCAAAGATTCGCCTATTGTTGTGTACCAGAGGAAAAGATTGCACTCCCCTTCTTTCCTCCAGCCTCGCTTCTACTCAAAGGCCAGGCCACTAAGCACACAATAGTAAAATGGTCTATTTTGGGAAGTACCGTATTTATTCGATTAACCGCCCTGGGCGCTTATTAAATTTTTGGACCTTTATCGTGGGCACTTATTCGAGGTAGGCGCTTATTCGAGGCTGGGCGCTTATTAAATTTTCACCATTTTCAGCAAGTTTAGCAGGTTTATTTGGCAACAAAACAATAAATGGTAATAACAAAACGCGAAGATGTAACAAAGAAAGGCTTCTGTAAAATACTCTTAAGAAAAATCCGTCTTCGGGAAAGTCTCTTATTGGTAGTTATTCAATTTCAATGAGTGGGAGGAGGACGGGGGTGGGCGCTTATTAACTTTTTCTGCCTTTAGGGTGGGCGCTTATTCAAGGTGGGCGCTAATTCGAGGCTGGGCGCTTATTCGAATAAATACGATAATGGTATTCTTTGACTGGTATTCTCGAAGGGAAGTGCTTGTCGTTTGTCAGCTATGAAACGTTTTTTTTTTTATTGTTTATTGTTTATTGTTTTGTTTGCCAAAAATTGTACAAATCAAATAAAATCTAGTTACTTAAGCTCTCATGGCGAAGTGATCTTCAAATGCTTTAAAACATAATTACCAAGAAATGGATTTTCTCTCTGTTTTAATTCAATATACAAAACGTTTTGCAAAGTCAGTTACAAGAACTAGAAATTATGCTGTGGAATTTCACGCGTCAAAAGGAACCAAAAAAAAAACCGTACAAGTAACTGATTATTGAATCGCCCATTTTTTCTTAAAAATTGACGTCTACCTCCATTTCCTTGCCTTTTTATATTGCTTTCCATGTCTCAGTTATGTTTGTGGAGAGTCCCTTCAAGAAACTTGTATTACTTAAAATCGCGGCCGTGCCGCGTGAAAAATTTGATTCAACCAGTCAGAAGCACTACCCAGATCTGGGTAGTGACGCGTCATCAGTATGGATTTCTGTGCTCGTTTATTAGACGTCATTTGGCGGGGAAACTAGCGGCAGCTTCGCCAAATATCGGCTGTTTTCTCGGGATACTATTTGAAGTGAAAGGGCCAAACTTAAACCTGGGAGAATTCCTGCGATACTGTTTCTTTAATGACCAAGTCTACGCATTAGTACTGGTTTGGTGTTGACTAGAAAAAAAATTATATCATGCAATAATACGTCCAGACAACAAATCGAGTCTACGCAACACTGTTTTTTTCGTTTGGAACACTTGACGTTATATTGGCGTTTCTTTGTCCGAAATTTTATCTTGAGCTTTCCCCTTAGGCATGTATAATAAGGGTATTCCTTTTGTAGAGCCTTTTGTTTTTTCGTTAATTTCACGTCTGCTGTTATTATCCTCACTCGCTAATTCACTGACAAGTGTTTCTTGTTCATCTTGTTCTTCCTGATTTTCTGTGTCACTGTCCTCGTCAGGTAACGGCCTGTCAAAGCAAGGCACAACATCGAGTTGAACTGGCGATTGGGAAGTTCCGTTGCAGGAAAATTGTCGACTCCAGGAAGGTATGCTTTCCATACTAACTTGTACTCCTTCGTCAGTACCAGGAATGAATATAGTGTAGGTTGAAGTATTACTTCCATGCAGTGAAATACCTCGTTTCTCTGAGCAACAACACACTTCTCCAGAAGAACTGTTCGAGCTCTCATCTTTTGGCAAAGAGCATCGCTTACAAAAATCCGAGCCCTGTGATTGCGTTTTTCTGGGCGGCGGCCCGGAGATCGTCCTGTGCGTATTAGAAGGCACACTAAATGAACGTACGCGGGGAGTTTTGCTGCTTTCCGCTATCCATAGCGGCAGTCTGTCTGCCTGGGTTCCATGCGTTACCCCAGGCACGTTCAAACTGTTTCGTGAGTTCTTTTTAATTCCTAAACCCGGTTTAAAATCTGATCCCTGATTCTCCTCCACATTTTCGTTTTCTTCCGATTCATCCTTTTCTGGAAGATCTCCAAGTTTAGGGAGAATCCTTTCGTTACGGCTATATTTACGCTCCCTGTTGGACCAGGAACTCGTGGGCGAGGTTTTTGGATCACTCGTTTGACCGTTGCTTGTGGGAAGACTCCCTGTTCTCGATTTCGCTTCGTACGAATTCTGCCTTGGAAAACTGTTCAGCCGATATGAACGGCCGTTAGACATTCCAGGCATTATGTTTTCGTCGTCTCCTGCCTCAAGCGCCACGTGACTACGCATTCGTAATCCTCGGCGCCTTGGACCGGAGGACGCTCTGCCACTGGAAAAATCGGAAGTAATTGAACTTAGCAACACCCTGTTTCTCTTCTTTGGAAGTTTAAGTCTTGCTTGCGCATGTGCGTAGTAGAGATTGAAGTTACTTCCAATTATGGAAATCGGGAGAGCTACGACAAGAAGACCGCATATCGCGCATGCACCTCCAATGATCTTTCCTATCCACGTTTTGGGAACTATGTCACCGTAACCAACAGTAGTCATGGTAATAAGCGACCACCAAAAGGATTCTGGGATTGAACGAAATTCCGTGCCATCGCCATCAAAAGTTCGCTCGGTGTAGTAAATAATTGACGAGAACAAAACAACCGGGATCAAGAGAATCAACAGCAGTAGTCCTAACTCGTACGAGCTCGCTTTTAGTGTGTGTAATATAATTTGAAGACCATACAGCAAGCGAAAGAAGCGGAAGAGCCGAAGAAGGCGAATCACAAGAAGTGCGTCCGCCAAAGGACCACCATCGGGATCAATGAGCCGAAGATAGAACGGAATGACCGACAGGATATCGATCCAGTTTGTTACTTGTCGGATAAAGATACGTCTTCTGGGACAAAAGGTAATGCGCATGAGCAATTCACATGTGAACCAAATACCGCAGAAGTAATCGATGACCGTGAAGATAGTGTCAATCGTCGGGTTTTTTTCCGGCGCCGCCGACCCTTTGTTAACTCTGGATTTCTTGGAGAACTGGGGAAGAGTCAACGCGCACGATGTGCCCACAGATAACATGATCAGTGCCACAGAGATGATGGAAAATATCTGTAAAAATAGACACGGATAACATGATCAGCGCCACAGAGATGATGGAAAGTATCTGTAAAAATAGACACGGATAACATGATCAGCGCCACAGAGATTATGGAAAATATCTGTGAAAATAGACACGGATAACATGATCAGCGCCACAGAGATTATTGAAAATATCTGTAAAAAATAAACGCGGGAACGAATTTTGGACACGAATGAGGGTAATAAAAGCAAATTCGCGATTTAACAATAAGTTTTGTTGTAGTATTAACTTTGAAGATATTATCGAGCGCCTTAATGTAACATGTTCAGTTAAAAAAAGATGACGTCCAACTCAAGGTGTGTTTCCTCTGATAGTTATACTCGGAGAAAAGAGCGCAGAATTGGAGATGTTTTCAGTCCTTTAACATCCTGAATCCCGACGCTCAAATGATAATCGCGAATCGCGACCTTTTACGTTGGCGGTGAATTCAGAGTTAATGGTCGCTCCACAGCATAAGGGAGATAAAATGCCATTTAATTTTAATGTTTAGACCCAGGTTAAATGACAGAAAAAAAAAAAGAAAAAAGAAATTAAAATGAATTAGCTGTGGTCTATATCGTTTAAGCTGACTTATCTTCCATTTCAGTGCCTTAACAATTTGAATAGTCAAGTTTCATCAAGATTTGACATGTCTTTCATCAAAGCATTTCAATCAACTTCGTTCAGAGATATATTTTTTCATAGAGGGAAGTGTTGATACGTTGATCATCTTCTTGAACAGTCAAACTGGATTTGAAAGCTTCCTGTTATCATTGAAAATGAAAACCTTTTTGTTGTAATACACACCGCCTGCGGTTTTGGGTTTCTCATTAGAATCTTGTTTATGAATTTTATTTGTAATTACTTGAGAGCCTGTCTTTTCACCAAACAAACTAATCCTTAAATGCTACCTTCGTTTTCGGGTGATTTACATACCAATAAAACCAAAAGTCGTCCGTAGCTTATCGGTGCTAAAAGGTACATCCCGAAACCTCGATAAATGTATTAATTTTTTCGTCTATAGGTATATTGATCGTTCCGTGTCACTTTAGCATCGTAATACTTTCAAATGGCGCTGTTTTGCTTTTTCTCGAAGAAAAACAAGAGTTTCACAGACGATCTAATTTAGATGATATGCGCCAATGTTCATTTAATTCAGCAGTCAGACCTTTATTAAAAAGAGACGTTTATGTATTAATTACTTGCCTGTGGATGTGTTGAATAAAGAACCAACATTAGCCTTAGAACGTAAAGATTGTTATTCCTAATGGGCCAAGGTGAATCGTCGTCTTGTCCTAATGGCTTTACATCATAGTTAATCGGCTTAAAATTTCTTCGGGTTACTCCAACAAGGCGTAAGCCGAAACTTCGTGTTTTAATTTAGTGACATCGGTTTGTTTTAGTTTATCTGTGATTCCGAATTTGACGCAAAAAGCCTTTTGTTTAATTTTTTGACGACTGTTGAAATCGGCTCCTTTTTTTCATAGGCATTACCTATGGCACCGAAACTTTTAAATTCCCGAGCCTGAGTATGATTTTAATGACCTTGTTTTCGAATCTTTTCTCCAGATAAATTACAGCCGTCTATGTCATACGCCGAAAAAGTTGTCAAAGTTTCGTAGTTTTGCAGATTACGTCTGTGAAAAATGTCAGAGACATGCAATCATTATAAAGAGTCACACACCTTTTTTATTTATCATTCTTTAACAACCGCGCGTGTTAAAGAGAACCTTGGAAAAGATACATGTGTTTCCATGTTCAAAAAGCAATTTTCTATTCATACTGGGCTGTGATCGAGGATATCTGTCCAAAAACACAGCAGGAACGGACCAGAACTTGTTTGAATAAACGATTGTCTTGTTCTTTTGATACACTGCATTGATTGGCGACATGCGGTTTTTGCCCGTAGAACAAGCTTGTTTCTCCTGTGGCCGAAACACGAATATCCCTTCTGCGAAAAAAGCGCTTCATAACAGGTGGAACACGGCAAGCTCTCTAGTGCTTGGAAAAGCAATTATTTGCTTCCTTAAAAAAAAATATTCTATTAGCAGTGCAGCTAATTTACATCTGAAGTGTGTAGTTTTAGCGAGTTTGTTTATTGGTGGTGTTGTTCCAGTGGACAAAATCGATGAGTTACGTTTTAGCAATTTTATCCAAATTCTCCTGCATTTAACATAACCAGAAACAATATGAAGAGGTTATGCAGTTTTTTTTACGGCAGACAATAGAGACAATTTCTTTAATTATTATACTGTGAAACAGCTGTTGCAGTATTGATTGTTACCAATTTTTAGCAACCACACTCAAAACGCGATCTTGTATCATGAGCTTCACGAACCTTTACAAAACTCGAGAAACGATTTCGCGGACTTGCTTACGTCAAGTCAAGTTGTTAGTCTACTTCGATTCCTTATAACGGATCCGAGTGTAGAAAATTAGTTTCAATATAGCTTACTCCTAAATAAACAATATCCCAAAAAGGTCTTTCGAAACAATAGCAGAAATTATGTGAGCTGTGAAAAACGAGTAAGCGCAAAATTTCTGGTCTCACCTTGGCTGCTTTGGAAGAGTGGGGCTCCTCAAGGATAGGCCATATTTTAGGTTGATATTGTGTCCACCAAGTGAACCTTCCGCAGTCTCTTGCCGGTGTGGGATCTAACCTGTCGTTCTCCAAGTCTGTGTCCTGATCTTGGTCGCTTTCGTGCACATTAAAACTCTTTAAATTCTGTTCGGCGTCACGATGCTGGGTGTACGAGGTCCAGCAGCAATGTTCCATCTCTTTCTCGTCGATTCCCCAGTACGCAAGCTCTTCTTCAAACAGAGGTCCGCAAACATCGTGAGGGCAGTGCAGCTTGCCAGTCCGATAGTAATTTAAAACCTGCTCGAATATTCCAGGATGACGATCGAAAAATAGCTCGATTTTTTCAGAGTCGTAGTCGATGGCTTTTGTGACGTTCTCGACGACCCAATAGAGCCTCGTATCAGGGTAATTTCGCACCGTACTTAGATACGTCTCATGTTTTCGGCCTCCAACGTTCAGAATAATTCTTCGCTGGGTCGTATCAACCACGCGCGGGATTATCTCGAGTCGTTGTCTGGTTTTCATCAAGGCGCGAAAGACTTCTTACCTAGATCACACAAGTTAGACAAGGAAATTTTAAACATTCTTTTAGCTTATAAGCATCGTAATATTTTAAACTGATCATTGCGCGGCGCAAAATAAAATTTAGAAAGGGTGATTCATCGTATTTGTTCCATAACGTCAAATGCAAAAACTGCATTAAACCGATCCGATATTTATACAGAGTCAAGCCAACCAGATGGTGATATTTACCAGCGCGAAATACTCTCTTTTTGATTGGTTACGGTGGCAGTTCACATAAAGGTTGTAGAAATGGTTTCACTCGCATTCATTAAAACTGCCTGTTGGAGGCTTCTCCTTTATTACAAGAAGAAAGACAAGATTAACACATTTACTCATCAGAGTCATAGCATTTTCGAATTTGAATTAGAGTTCGAATTTGACCGTTCTTGGAGTAGGAAGTTCACTTAAATGTGAGTCAACATCAAGAAGGCCGTGAACTAGCAAGCGTGACCATTTATTATGAATAAATATAGAAAAATTAATTAGTCGCCTGAAAGTGATTGGCAAGCTAAAGGTTTGTTATCAGTTTTCTTGTCCAATCGAATCAGCAGCTGCCTTCATTGAACTGGAAGCCGCCCGAGAAAACATTAAAAAATTTTAATCAACGCAATTGATAACAATAACCTATTTCTGTTAAAAAAGAGAACGCGCACACTCCCGCACACCTAAAGATTGTTCCTCTAACACTACGATAATATTTTACTTGGCGTTAAAGGGGGTTATCTCACGGGGATATTGCTGGATATTGTAGGTCAATTCTGTGCTTAAGTGTTGTATTATAGCCTGCGAAAGGCAGACGTTTCTCCTCGTTCATCGCCGCTGAGGGACGTCTCGCGTGGAGGAACGTCTGCGACTCAGCGGCAGAAATTCCATACTGATGACGTAAATCAATGTTTACTTAATAAATCCGGTAGTCATGGGGTTCCAAATGCAAATTTATTCAATTATACGTTATGAAGAAGATATATATCATCAAGGATCACTAACAGTTCACCATTTTCACATAGACTACAATGCACCATGTTCACCCCCCAAAATTTTGTATAACCAGTGTCTTCGGTTTTTCCTGGCATGGGGCGACTGTAATACCCAGGACAAATTGGAAAAAATGATTTTGCAAAATTTGGGTGGTAAACACACTGCATAATGGTCTAAGTGAAAATGGTGAATATTAGCGAGTTCTTTAGCTAGTTCAGTTGCAGACATAACATTAAACTTCCGGAATGTCCTTGATTCTGATTGGTTGAAAACCAAGTACGTTTATTTGTTGCCGCCTGCGGGCCCTTGTCTAGATGAATGCTTTAACGTAGTATTCCACTAAGATGACGTGATAATGCATCCTTTTCTACGCAGACACCATGTTGGGGTCTCTGTGATGGACACCAATATGGTGGCCGGAAACCAACAAAACATCTGTTATCGAGTTTCTGTACGAAAGGGTGAATCAATCTCTCAAACACTTTTTACACATTAAAGTAACACTTATTCTAATGCAAGGACGTTCATATAACAAAATCGCAAAAGACAAGTACGTTTTTAAAACTTCGTGACAGCTTTCTCGGTGGTCATCTAAATACCTCGTCACGCAAAGGATTAGAAATCAATCCACTCGAACTGAAAATTTGTGAAAACGTAAGTACTTAGCTGCTCTAATAAGTCATGAAAGTTAAAAGGCAGTAGCATTAATAATTTTCTTGTTTGATTTTTGATGACGTCACACGTGAAAACCGGCAACATATTCGAGTGGTCACTTCTAAATTGCAGTCTGCAAGGTCACTGAGAGATTCTAATCCCAAATGAGCTCTCTAGTAGATTAACACGTAAATTGTATGACAAAACAAAATAAAACAAGAAACAAACAAATAAACAAACAAACAAAATCAACTCTGTTGAGTTTACGCCGGTAATGGTGTACAGAAGTCTTTTACGTTGTCCCGTCGACTACAAGGTCTTTTTACAAGTTACCTGTAATATGCGGTTGGTTAAAAGCCCGAATATTTGGCTTAAGGTAAATGAAGTTTAATTTGTTTTCGAAAAGTCGTTAATAATTCATATAGAGAGACTTAGACTGATGACTTAAGAATTAGGTTTTTTTGCCGTAAATTTGCCTCCGTAATAAGATTCAAAAGCTGAAATTTCGATTCCTTGGCCCTCGCCAGAATGAATAATGGTTTTAGTTCCGGGCACGATTGAGTGAAAGGATTAACAGAAGAGCGAACATTTTAAGTCCATCACAAACTTGTACCTCTGGTTTCACAAAGTCTCAAACCTTGCCACTACACCTGTTATATTAAATTGAACAAGAACAACCTTTCCATTTAATTAATAATATTCAGTGAAGTTTTCTTGAAGATGTAAATGAACTATTTAGACGACGGTTCTTACCACAAAATTTGCGAAATAAATACGAAATTGTCTACTGCATGTAGGCTATACATGGGTTCAAATGGAACACTGACGAATCTAATTATCTTTGGTTTTACGTTGATCTATCTTTAAGATATAACCAAAATAAATTTGCGGTAGCGAACTCTGTTGTCATAAAATATGCACGCATAGCTCGCCAACGTGGGACAAGCATGTGGTATTTTTGCTTCGTTTTTCAGCGCGCCATAAAAAACAAAGCTTTATCACGTGTAAATTGTTCTCCGTCACTATTTGGATATTGTGCTGGAGGAATGTTTCAGTTTAGTTGAAAGATATTTGGAATTTAAGTGGATAGGAATGGATTTAGTTTATATTCTTACCAATTAATTTTTGGAACTCACAGTGTCGACAGAACAATTGCAAGCACTTCCGACATCCTTTCTCATTTTAGTCTGAAGTGGCGACGGATCACTCCGTTTGCTAAGCTCCTCTTATTCTCAGTCGAGGGCAATAACGACGTATTCGATAAAAACCTGTTTATGCTAATAGCTCAGTGTTACGGTGTTTGTGAAATGTGATAAGTTCATGACGCCGAATTTATATCTTGTTTATGTCTGCCTGCTGCGAGCTCACACGAACTCATGCAAACTGATCACATATAAATAAAAACAGTTCTAATGGAGATATGTTAACTTCAAGAGTCAATCTATAGAAGTGAGCTAACAAGCAACCCATGAACAATTTTAAGCTTCTCCAAAATCTTAGGATATCGATTACGCCGTGCGTGTGTCATTAATATGCGTATTTTTTTTCTTCATGGAAGTACGTAATGAAACACAATTTTGGCTATCTACAACAGTATATTTTGTCTTCCTAGATAAATTAAAAATTTTGTTCATTAAAAACCAGGAAAACAAGTTTCAACAGCTATTTAACTCCTCTTAAAGGCCTTTTTTGCTTAATGTGATAGTGAATGTTTGATTGAACTTTGCGAAATCGTTTCAGATTTAATCTAATCCGCTTTATTTCTTTTTTTGAGCACAAAGAGAAGGAAAACAAGACGTACTGTAACTGACACCTTGTATTAGGAGTGCCAACACGAGCCTCTTTCAGATTTTTCCATCCACACTTGAACGGTCGTAAAGAGAAAAATACCGTTATCGTTCAATTGTCGTGTGGACATCTGTTACGGCATCTAAAGGTACATTCACACGGTACTCGACAAATTTTCGCCGGTCGAAAATTCGTGGGTTTAGATGTTCCGTTTACAAGAAACCACGTTAACTGTGCAAAAATTTGAACACTATAATCGAGGTAAAATGTTGGCCGGTACCGTCGAAAATTCGATTGGCGCGGCCAATTATACGGTCTAAATTTTTGTACGGCAAAGGCGCTGTCGCATGGATGTGTGGTAACTCAGCTGAGAGACGCCATTTTGGATTGTTAAAGTAGCGGTCTGCGCATGGGCAGATGGTTTAAATTCAACCTGGTTCATCAGTTCCGTGTGAACAGAGCGGAATTTAATACTAAACTCTTCCGCGTGAACGAACTGTACGGTCAAGCTTTTCATCCGGTGGAAAATTCGTTCGGTGCCGTGTGAATGAGGCTTAGGCTGAACAAATATAGACGACATTCAAATAGTCGGACAGGAAATTCACGGTTGTGGCATTTTACGGTAGACGTTTGCATAAACTGCTTTACGCGCTTGTGTTTTGGTTTAAAACTGTTCAATTGTATAATGTCCACGTCAATGACGAAACAGAGCACATTATACCCGTGGGTGCGAAAAAACAAAGCAAACAAACAACAAACAATGTTCATCAAAACAAGGCTGCGAATAACAGCCTACGCCATCACTGATGGAGGGATCCGGATGGATTCCGAAAGCTCTGCTAAACTTTCAACAAATTGTTGGTGTGGAAGAATATTTTATTCTGTAACAAACAATGTGCATTTGTAATTATCGAAACTTGGGGCGTAGGAGTGTTCGCTTTCTTGCTGCTCAATCGGTAGATTTCGTTGTGTTTCTTGCCAAGCTGTTTGGGGGAGTTTCAGCCCTTAAAGGAGCTGTTAGACGAAATTTATGTAAATTGTTGGTGTGGAAGAATATTTTTCCTGTAACAAACAATGTACATTTGTAATTGTCGAAACTAGGAGCGTAGGAGTGTTCGCTTTCTTGGTGCTCAAGTTGTAGATTTCGTTGTGTTTCTTGCTAAGCTGTTTGGGGGAGTTTCAGCCCTTAAAGGAACTGTTAGACGAAAGTTCTGTAAATTCAATCAGTGGGAACCGCTACCAAGCTGAGTTGAACATAAAAACTAACTGCTTAGAACATGAGCATGTTTCTCATTATATTGTAGAGCACATGAATATATATTGATAATACATCGGCTCTATATTAAAGTGTCAATGTTTTCAAAATACTGTAATAGCAAAATCTTACATGGGCTGATTGTTTGTTGGGGGTTTGAATTTGCTTGTAGGAGATTAATCCACTGGGACTTCAACACGGAAGAGAAGATATTTAATGGCTCTTACATGTATGCGTTAACATAATTCTTTGCATTTGCGCTCTTTTTGAACGAGAGTTTTTTTCACAGTAACTATTGTGGGAATTCATTTATGTAAAACTTCGAAAATTAAGATCTTCGAAATGAGGCTTGGCGGTGAAGTTTGTTCGTCTGACGTATTCATGCATAAGGTCCCTTTCTAGCTTGATCAATTCTATTTGAATTTAAAACAAGTGCAGTGCCGAGGAAATGAAATATTAACTGGCATGATGTGAAATTTTCTAACTCGCTCCTGAACTAAATGAAGTGTACAGCTAAGTGGTGGTTGTATGCAATTCACTGTAAAAAGTATTCAAGTAACAAATCTCTTGCCTTTTGTTTAGCTCGTTTTTAACTCGAGGCTATAACCGTTGCTGCAGGGTTTTCAAAGCGTGATGCAGATTTTTACCAGCTATTTGAAAACAATTTGCGTGTGGAAATTTCACAATATAAATTGTATTCTTTCTATACTTCTGATGTACATATGCTGGGTAAAATGCTAAAGTTAAGCAGAAAAAATTGAAATTTTGGGGTATGGCGTTTGTTGGTCGAAGATAGAAAAGGTTTTAAAAACTTCGACAGTATGCACACAGTATGTAGAAGTATACCACAAACTACCTATGACATTATTTATCCTTACCAATAATTTGTGGCTTTAGTTATCCTTTCTCGTGGAAATCTGTTCAGATGAACCAGCGAAATATATCAAATTGAAGAGAGAAAAAAAATCGTGGAAAACTTAGATATAAAATGTACTTGAAATTTACGCGTTGTGTCGGTTAGGCGAACAGTTGATGGGGATGTGCTAAATTATTTAAATAATAGGGTTGTCTGGTTAAAAATTTAAATGACTGAGAGTACCCTACAGTCTTTCCCTGCTAGCACTTTCCAAGAATAGAAAATTTATTAATGGTGGCATTGATGTGTCTCTGCATCCTATATAAAAGTGAGATAAACGTGATATTTATTGTCGAGACGTAAGTTATAATTAATATTTTGCCAAACCTAAAGAGATTTGCACGAAATTGTTTACAATCGGAAATATTTATGTGGTGTATGTTATCAGTTGAATTTGACGTAAAGATGGATAACTTTAGTTATTTACTTCCCACTACTGCGCTTAATTCAGCTTCAGACAAGTCAACCAAATGCCGATGAAAATATGACAAAACTTTATACATGTATCAGTCAGGGACATTTTCTGGCATTTGACATCACTGTTGACAGGTCCAAATTTTTGTTTTGTCTTTTGTATTTCTGGGAGTTCAAGTTTATTTCACGCTGTTTCAGATGGAAGGCATTTTTTTGCTATTCATTGCGCTTTAAATTATTTCATCTGATATATGGAGATTGAACTTTAATTGAAAAAGTTGAGAAATAGAAACATGGCACGCTGATTTTAAATAATTTTAAAATACTTTTGAAGTTTGCATTGAATTGTCGTAATAGGTTATCCTTTAAATTATTTTACTCTTTGAATTATTTTTATCGTTACTGGAAGATTTAAAGTTTAGCTCAAGTCCTGAAACAATAAACATATTCAAGAATCTTAAGTTCCTGAAATTTAAGAGCATATTAATCTTGCACCTTGGTAAAATTTGTGTCTTTACAATGAATCACAACTTACTTCCAGCCACCTTTTCCAGTTTTTACAGTTCATGGTTATAACACAACTAACTCAAATCGAGTTATAAATTCCTTGCTGTGTCGTCCTTAGATAATGAAGTTTTCTGTTAGCTATCAAGGTCTTGTCTTCTTTAATAAGCTGCAATGCTCCTAGCTTACATTAATTCCACACTTATCTTTAAACAAATATCTCCTATCTTGTTATTAATATATTCTCTCTCTAAAAATTTCTATATATTTTCTTCACTCTATTTAATGTATAGGTTTAGTATTAACTTATTAATTTCTGTTACACGCTGCGTATAACCAGTATAACTTGATTATCATTATTATTATTATTATTATGTTTTTCTTGTTTTACATTTCTTACTTCCAAAGAGCTCCAAGAAACTACCAGTTTCTTTGGGAGCGGCGGGGAAGGGGAGACATGACATGTTAATCTTGTATAAAACGCACTTTTTCGCACCTTTTCATCAACCCTCTGCTACAGATCAGGTCAATTAGATTAAAGGAGCACTTTCAAGTCATTATTAATAGTAATAGGACTGAGTGGAGTGAAATTCAGGAAGTAATTGGGGAGTAATTTCAAATCGGCCAAGTGCTTAATTAGGACAAAACCAGAAATTTATTTGCTCTAATTTTGTGAGTTAAGAAGTACAGTATGGGGCTCAGTTCTCGGCCACAAAAAACGTAAACTTGTATTTTTTACTTTGGAATAGCCGTGAGGACTTGAAATTTGACACACAATTAGCTTCAGCATTCAGTTTACACCAGAAGCATATAACCCCGAAGCGTATAACTTCCCCCTATATGTTTATAACCATGCTGGGGTTTTTTAGCCGACGCTGAGCCGTATAAGCAGAATCATGGAAAATTATTTTGCCCAAATATGGCATCAGAGAATCCAAGGCTAAAAACTTTGAGCTTGCAGCGCTTATACATGTATGACCGAAACAAATTGTTTCGTGGCATAAAAGATAAAGTAATTATGCTGCACCTTGGGAAAACTTAAAGAGCCACACAAAATTATAAGCGGTATGGCCTGAAAACATCGACCATCGACGAAGGAAGACCAAGGATGTTTACATTTCTTCGCGATATGGCAAAGCCATGGCAAAGCCTCTCGCCGAAATCAGCGAATGTTGACCGACAAGGATCATCCTCAGGCTACTAGCTGCAAACCTATCTACCACGGCAAACCAGTTATCTGCAACTTCTGTTCTCAATCAGCAAAAACCAACATGGCGACAACAAACAAAATGATATGGCAAGCTGTGCAGAAGCGTTGTTGCACAAGGACCCGACGAAGTCGGAACGGAATCTTTTTTCTGTGAGTGTAGATTTTTTTTCAGAACATTACGCGGACAAATGTGTGGCAGTTTTAATTAGACGTGTGACATGTTAAAGTTTGTATTCTTTTTGGGGCCAAAGAAAACTTTAAGCGGCGAAATTTATCTTCGAAGACTTTGACCTTGTTTCTTTCATGGTGGAGCCCTTGTTTATTTTTCTAAACTACTGCGACCAAGTCAGCAACTATTTTAAAGAATTTAAGCTTACAATTTACACATTGTGCTCTAGGAAAGTACGTTATTGAAAGGAAATGTATGTATCTATAAATGTTTCATAGACGTTTTATATATTTTTGATAGAGTTTTCAAGAAAAATTGGGAAATGCGCCCGATCTTTGACAGATAATTTTAGTTTTAACTTTTGCCGTGTACTTAGCTGATTTTAATTGTGGGAAAGGATCCACGATCTAGTCAGTGTTACGTGAATTACTTTTAACGGCTTTTAATTGGAGTTTTCGAATAAAAATTTTCAAGAAACAATTTGTCTGTTTTTCGTTTTCTGTTGGTTCATTCATAACATTAGTTGAAAACATGATCACCGGCATCTTGTTTGATAAATATAACTTGCGTTTTATTCTTATTTCACGCATTACTTCTGCGAAGATGTCGGCGAATTTTATACAATTTTTACTTTCGAGTTTAGCAACTAGTGAATTTTATTTGAAAATATGTTACCATTTATTCTAGATAGATAGTAAGTGATTTTTTAAAGGTTATTTGCGCTATAATGGTCACGTAAAAACCGTTTTTGAGGTAACAACTTTAAGAAGTCGCTTCTCTTCAGTGCATGTCATTAGTAGTCGACTTTGTCTTGTAAGGAGAAACAAATTCAGACTTGGTCATATGCATTTGGGGATTAATACTATATTTCGTTTTTCGTCAAATATTACCTCGTAAAACCGTAAATACTTTATGCACCGCAACATTTACATCGCGATACTACAAGTTTTCCTATAGAGCACTCGCGCAAAAAAATCGCCTATCAGTAATTCCATATTAGGAAGTAAATTTTGATTGGTTCCCTAAAAAACCCCAGCATTACGACAAAGTAATACGCTTCGAGGTTATATGCTTCTGGTTTATACATGTAAAGCTTTCGACTGCTCAACGCTGTTTTCTCCCAAGTAATAACGAAAATGGAGGCTTCGTTCTTGGGCCCAGTTATCGGCCAGCGAGCCCAGTTCTCGGCCACAAAAGAGTGCGCTCGATTCCTCAGAATAAACAACGCTTTATTACCATTTTTTGTTGTTAAATCACTTATACGGCTTGTGTTTTAATATTTCGATCACAAATTATCCTTAAAGAGCTTTGTTTCACGTTAGAAAAGGAAGTTTTTTGCACACCTAGTTTTTCTCTTAAGTGCAGGCAGTCAAGCGAGGCTAAAAAAGAGTAGGGTATTTTAAACACTGACGGTTTAAGTCAGAACTGATAGTATTAATTCATATCTATTGTCAGAACACTTCTTTCTTTCATTCTTGCCTCGGCGGATGAAATGTAATTTAAAATTTCGGTTCCTCTGCCATAAAAAAACTCCATTCAAAACTATGAGCGCTTTTTAGTATTGACGGCGAGCAGGGTGGCCGAGAATAGGCAAATACGAAAAAGTACTAAGGAAATATTGAGGAGTGAATTATACGTCAAAGAATAAAACAGGCCAGCAAACGTTTATAATCAACAGTTAGCTTTATCACTCTACGTTCTTTGTGTTAAAAATTGGCTCATTTGGGCCCTCTCTACGGATAAAATATAAACTTGAATTCGAGTAGCCGTAAACGAACACGTTTTCGGGGAAACCAAATTCACCCACCTTCGCGTCACCTCGACGTGCTCATAGTATATACTAGCTGTAAACTCAAAACTCGGCAGGAAGAAAGACAGGGAATGAAGATACCTTTGGAAACAATTGCTTTTTATTCAGTTCATTTGTGGCTCGAAAAATAAACGTTGAACAAAAAGTGGCCGAGAACTGGGCCCCATAATGTACTTATGAGAGTCACCGATATTATCTTAATAATTTGTATGAGCGCAGTCGACTGCAAATTCAGTGCTCGAAAATAACACTCACACTCTGGTTGTTTTTGAAAGATATAGGCCAAAAATACTCCCCCCCCCCCCCCCCCCCCTCCTCTCTTTAAAAAATACTGAAAAAAAAAATTTTTTGTTTAAATATTTAATAAAAGGGGGGAACATATTTTTTTTTGTTAAAACGATTCTACAAGAGAGGAGCACTTTACATACAATGACCCCAATAAACACGACATCCCACACAAAAAAGGGCGAGAACACTGGCCCCAAAAATTGCTTATAGGAGAGCCCCAATTTTTTTTAATAATTTTTAGAGGCCCACCTCACCCAAAAATTACGGCTTAAAAAAAAACCCCCCCCCCTGGTTTTTTTTTAAAAAAAATGGGCAAAAAAACCCCCCCCCCCCCCCCCCACTTACTTCTCATATAAAATCTGGAGAAAAAGTAATCTGTGTTTGACAATTTGAACGAGAGAGGTGATACATTTCTGTCTCTGACAACCAGTTTTGAAGAGGATACGGCCCTTTAAACGAGTTCTACAGTGACGACATCTCAGTCAAACCACGCTGTGTCACAAAAAAAACAATCTTCAAGTGAAGATGGAACAAAAAAATCTTTCACAGCTTACCTTCGTTTAAAGTCAGTTCTTCATTGAATGGAAATGAAAATAAAGCTTCAATCAAAAATTAAATTAAACGAAAAATTCAACTGAAATTAAACGGAAACTGAAAAGAAATATGCAACCGAAGTAGAAATGAGGCCGAAACTAAAATGAAAATAAAACCCAAAATGGAGTGGAAATAAAAGTAAAAAATGAAACTGGAATGAACATGAAAATAAAGTCACACAACACTGCACGTGCCTAGGTCGTATGTGAAGTTCAGAGTCTGATCGTCTTGCCTGTTACAAACATCGTCCCGTGAAGGTGCTGTAACTTTTCACTGCGGTCTACGTCAAGATCTCACTGATTTATATTTTTGGTGTTATTGGTGGGCCGCACTGTCATCGTTCGAGACTAATCAAACTTTACTGTTGATAACAGGGAAGAAAAGGTGCTAATTCGTTTCGTATAATTTACTGAAAATGCTTATCACCGGGTCGCCAACCAAGCTGTATTAAAGGATAAAACATTGTTATTGCGGTAACTAATAGCCAATTTTAATATTGTAATAAAAATGACTTTATCAAACGCTAGACAATTGTTTGCTCTCCCCTTTATTATAAATTATCCTTCTTGTTTAGTCACTAATTTTACTTTCTCTTAACGCAAGAATATTGCAGGCACAACGTGCGTTCGATCGATCTTGCGTTGCCATGAGATGAGTTCATTATCAAAACAGGTTACGTAGTTAGTTTTGTAATTATCGCTGTGGAAAAATGCCTCATAAAAGGTGTTTTCTTTGTTACTGTATACAATACAATTAATTGCGGTTAAAAACGCAGATGACAGAGGCTTTACTTTGTAAATTTGCAATTGAATAGCTAACTCGATCAAGTGCGGCAGCTCAAAACAGGTGGATAATGTCATTAACAATACTTCTATTATTATTACTTTTTCTGATTTTAAGGGATTTTTTTATCCGATCTGCGGAACGAGGAATTTTCTTTCCCCTCAATTCGGTTTTAAAACTGACAAGAACGTTCGGAAAACCAAAGAAGCATTTTTTTAAAAAATGATTTATGTTCTTCATAACTATACATTTGGCAATATTTGTTACCTTTTACCTAGTAAACGCGATTTATTAAGTTAATTGTGCATCCATTTTCATGAAATATTTTATTGCATATAATACAGAAGACTTATTTAACTCTGAATGAGCCCAAATACCGCTATTTCTTCCCCTAGGTACGGATAAATTCTTCAAGTAGACCACCTGAAATACTAGTTCTGCAAATATTTAAAATAACAATAGATTCTTTTAAGATCACTTAAAAATTTGCTTAAGATCAGAAACGAAAATGAATAATTATTTTTATCAATAAAAGTTATCCTTGTTTTTATTCGGATCCTTCTATATAGATACTATTTAAACGATATCTCATGGAGTCATAATTCACGGGTTGTTTTATTTAGAAAATGTTTTGTGCGGGAAATTGTTGCCATTAAGGCTTGAAATATTTTCTCAGACCATGCTGTAGTTATATTTTGTGAATCATCTGTTGAAGAACTCAGGTTGTCAGCGAATGTTTCCTTGAAAAACCTGCCACATGAGTGTTGCATCCTCTAAAGTAACGGTGAAATATCGGGTCAAAGGAAAAAAGGCGCTTGAGAGTTGAAGTTTATCTCCTTGGTAAGCTTCGTATCGTGTAGAAAATAGAGAAAGGTCTTTTTAGGGATATTATGCCAATTTTCCTCCGTTTAATAAGAGTTAAACTATAAAATCGTTTTCTTAACCACATGATGTGCTGTTCCATCTGTATCGTCCATTGTGGAAATCCTTTGATTGTTCAAATAATACCTCTCCTGACTGCTTCCGATTGGTGCTATTTGTTTTTTTTTTCTTCAGGATTTTGTTTTGCGGAAGTTGGGGTGTCTTTTCAACTTCGATTGGAAATTAAAGGATCAATGGCCCATATATGATTTGAAGAATCAACAAAACGCCGTTATGTAAATGTTTTGCTAAGCATCTCCCATTGGGAACGAAAACAGTGCATTCGTTTAACAAAAATTGAAAATAAACAGTGAATAGTCTAATATATACCAAAATAAAGCTTAATATTATTGGGAAACAACAACAATATCTTAAGTATATGTTATCGTTTTGCTATTCTCTCGCGTAATGTGATTTTCTTATAAGGAGAAAGTAAAGATTTCGTTCAATTATAAAAGTCAAAAGCTGCTACGAAAACTGGAATCTCAATGTATGCAAACAGTAGGTATCTCACCTGGAATACATCATCGTTGAAGTTGTCGTTGACAAGAAGAATAATCGCCTCTGCTTTCTGTTCTCTGGTTGAAATTTTGAGCAATAAAATATGTGAATAATTTACATGTAAATAATTTACAAATTTGGTGCCTTTGAGGGTACGGGCATCTTTTGTTATTTCTGGGCCTATTGTTTTAGAAAAATCGTTGACTATCCTCAAGAGTCTCTAAAAGTGTAGCGTATGTGTTAATTAAAAAAAGCAATCCCGTAAATTCTCGATGTGTTCAAGGTGGATCCACTGAATATTATGACCATGTCAAGTTTTCGTCCTGGTGTTCGCTCATTTTTTTAGCTACAAATCCAGACTCTGCATCTGAATCAATGATAGGCGACAAATGTGTGGGTCCATAAGTACATTTACAACACAACTGACCACACAGAAAGAAAACGTTATTGTCATGTAAACAAACACTTAGAAAATGGGTCTCTATGGAAATCCTTCGTGTTCTTACTTGCGCTTTCTTCGAAGACGTCGCTGAAAATTGTTTTTACTTACAGCTGCTACATTTGTTGTTTTAGTGATTTCTTTTCGTCAAGGCACAATTCTTCGTCAGGCGTCATTCTTCGATCTAGCTTTAACTGGTTCGTGAGACCTTTCCAAAACAAATCCTCGGACCTAATGTTCATCTCTTATGGAGATACTTTTTCATCTCTTTTCCCTGTTTATGAGGTACTGTTTAAAAAACGAGCAGGAGTGTATTATCAGGTTTCAAAACTCGAGGCGAAACTGCGAGTTTTTTTGAACGGCTTTAAACTCTCTGATATAGATCAACTCATTCTTCCACTAATGGATTTGGGCTTACTTTCGTCTAAAAAATTGGACGTAAAGTTAAGCCGTGTCTTTATCAAACATGAAGACAAAACTGTGAAACATGAAGACACTCATTAAACATTAATTTCTTTTTGTTTTTCTCTTTATGAATTATTAATGAGTTTTTGAATATGCAGGAAAAGTGGCTGCAAAGAAAACTAGATATAACCACGTCTTTTTCAGATTCATTCATTCACAATTTGTGATGATTTAGCACCGTCAGAGTGCTATCAACATAAATATTCGAGTTTCGAGTTCGCTATGGCCGCTGAGTTAAAGAAGTCAAGACGCTTTTTTTCACAGGCTTAGCCTCCATCTGAAGTAATATATTCACAAATTCCAACGAGAAATTGTGTATATTCAAATTTCAAACACTTACTTGCCGGAATTTCTGAAAATTTTACTTTACGTCGAGGCTAACCCTGTATAAATGTGCCGTTAATGTTTGTATTCAGCGGTAAAATTTTAATTCGAAACTGGACTATTGCAGCACCGTTGTTTCCATCTTTGCTAGTTTCCTCTATTATCTATGCTACAATCATTACAATCGTTGAAAAAGGCTATCAACCTCAGTGAACGATCCTCAAGACAGAGCTGAAGTTCGCCATTGCTTGGGTTGTTGAAGAGGTGTCTCCATTTTAGCTCTTTTTTTCATATCGTAGCGATTATAAAGTGTTCATTAAATGCAGGCTTAATTATCACTGAAAATTGCGTGGCTTCCCAGTTCTCTTGGGATTTTATCTGCTACTGCCGCAACAATAGAGCGTTTTCACTCATGTGACCAGCATCTATGGAAATTTATGGGAACAAAAGAAAGTGTTTACATAAGAAAAGACTTCAACTCCCACAGGATTGGTTTGGGACACAAACATGGCCACCGTTTCATTGTTTTGGAACACCATCATGGCCGCCGTGACGTCATGTGAAAACGCTATATATACTCCTGAGGAGACCCAATCATTTTCAGACATTTATTATTTAATTTTTTTTGTATAACTACTTAATCATCCTCGCCCCATCGGCTTTCAAGGGATGCTAAAACTAATATTTCCAGTAATTAATATGTCCTGTCATTAACGGTTCTCATTTTGTGAATGTTTCCTCCAAAAATGTTCTGCTATTGGTGTAGGATTGACTGAGCCGGAGCCATTGGTTGAACTACATGTATTTCGGGCATCCTATTGATAAAGAGTTACTACATTTAGTTACTTGCTGTAGCAAATATTATAGCCGAGCTCCATGGGTAATAAAATTTGGTGTTTATCTATAAATTCAAGAAGTTTTGGCTATGACAAAATCGTCGGTACGTACGTCCGCCCGTTCATGAAAGAGGACGTGAAAGGTCTTACTTACTAGCTAAAAAGACCAAGGTGTTGTCTTTATCTTGATATTGTATGTCATGATCATGTTATGATCAATTGACAGCTGTCAAAATAGGGTATCCTCTGACCAGTGTCACATGACTGTATCGCGGACTCAGGTGTTCATCTCATTGAGATGACGTGTTTTTTAAAAGTTCTCTGCTGACCAGTTATGGTAATCAAGCGATCGTAGGCTCTGAAAACGTTACTTTAGAAAGCCATTTCTTAAGAGTTCCCACGAGGAGAGCTCTGCTTTTGGCCTTCGCTAAATCTATATTTTTTAGCGTCTGTCTCCTTCGAATTACTAACAGTTACAACCGCCGCATTCTAAGGCAACAGGTTAACTCCTTTACAGGGACGTGCCATGAGTCTTGTTTGATTCATCGTCACCGTCCGTAAGTCTGCCTCCATTGACAATACCCAATGGATTCCTTTCAATCTTGCGCTTGCTCTTTACTGTTTTTACGTTGGAATTACACATACGTAAAAGGAGGCGCAATTCCTGTCGGAATTTTTTCTCTCTGAACACGTACAGAAATGGATTCACCAGCGAGTTTGTAGTAAATGAAATGAAGATAGTGAGTTGACGAATTTCTTTCGCGTAAGTCTGGTGCCCTATAAATGCCACAATCATAGCTGGAAGGTACCATAATACCAGCGTGCTCAACACAAGAGCAAAGATAAGTTTAGCGACTCTTGTGTACGCCTTTGACCTCCTTATGTTATCCTGGGTCTTCACTACGCGGTAAATACGAATGTACATGACACATGACAGCAGAAAAAGGACAGAGCTACCAGCAATTCCTGCCTTCTCGATATAATTTCCATAGTTTTTACTCCAGCTCGCCCGTCCACAGAGAATGCTTTTGAATTCGTGAGTCGTCACGAAGCCAATTGTTTGACTGCCCACGAGGATAGCGCTTAATAACCACGCCAAGGAGATCGTGATTAACACAGTACGACGCGTGAGATGGGTTGCCGGTCTTGAGTAATGTACGATAAGCTTGTAGCGATCCAAAGTCATTAAGAAAAGGGCCAAAGGTTCCACAAGAAGAGCTACTGAACGAGTCGAGATTATCGTGGGACAGACGTACTTTCTCCAAGAATCAATGTGTCTTTGTCTCTGTTCAGAATTAAGAATTGTAGCATTGATGGCAATCACCAGTAAAAAAGAACTTATTAAGAAATCACACGCAGCAATGTGACCAGCAAGGAACATAGCTTTAAGGTTTTTTAGTCGCTCTGTGGTGAATACAACCTTGACAATGAGCATGTTAGAGAAAGTAGCCACCAAACTCAAGATGAATATGAAGGATTTTAGTGGCACGCTGTCTTCTATCAGAGGCACCGATGTTGCTGAAGGCGGGCCGCTGTCGTTGTGGTATGAATTGTTATAAAGCGCAGTGCTTAAGTTGAATTGCGTGGAATTCGTCTGTAAATTTTTGATCGGAGGTACCTTTGAAGGGGAGCGGCAAGCGCATGAATTGTCGGGAGAGTACTGGCAATGAATCCAGCTTACACAAACGCCAGAAACATTTCCAAAGGCTGCAATTTGTCTAAATTCTCTTTGATATTCAGACGAACAGTTTAACGCGAAGTCAATCTCACAAAATTGACAGTTTGTAATATTATCCACCTCAATCTTTTCCAGCGAATGCAGTAACAGTATGGAAGACGGTAAACGTTTGTATCTGTTTCCTTTTAAGTTAAGATACCGCAGCGACTTCAGAGGGAGCAATACTTCTGCCGGTACTGTGTGGATCTGGTTGTTTTCTAGAACCCTTAATAGAGAAGTGCAATTAGATTTTCTAATAAATTAATAAGTATTGGCCCGAGAGGCATGCTCTGAATTGCTCTTCGAGTGAAAAAAATGTATGTGTTTTCCTTTATAGGTTTCAAATTTATGTGTTCGTAATATTTTCGGAAGTGAAAAACGAATTACCTGGGTAGGAAGTCACATATTAGAGGATATCCTGTCTCTCTACTTCATTCGTTCGTTTGCCCCCGATTTTGTTAAAAGCGGCCTGATATCCTAAATGCGAACTGCTATACCTTAGCCAGCCTGATATCGTTTGTCAGACGTCATATTTGCCCAACCTGATATCCTCTGTCCTACGCGATATGCTTTGTTCGACAAGTATCCTTTATCCGACTTGCTATCATTCGTCCTGCCTGATATTATTCAACCGATGTGATATCCTGCAATCGAACTAATATCCCTCGTCTTGCCCAATATCCTTGGTCCCACCATGCATTTAATGTAAATTTCATCAGCTTAATCCTAGTGTATATCTAAAGGAATTCAATACTTCAGATGGTATTCTCAAATTCATTAATTATTCATGCAGTCAAAAGCCAATAAATGACGACCATTTGGGTCAGGTGGATAAATGTTGATATCTAACGAAACACCAGGTAAAACACCACCAATGCAATACCAGAGAAAACATGTCGCTGCATTATTTCTTGTTGTTTCATTTGGAAAGACATGTCAAAAACTTTGGCTTCGTGCTTCATAAAGGCGAGTTCTAAACACGTCGAAACGGATGAAAGCACTCGGCGTACGATCTCGTACTTGCATCTGTTTCTCGGTGTTTGGAACTCGTGATGAACCACTCGCCCTCACTCTTGACTTATGACGTAAATTATGTTTAAGTACTCGATGAAACAGTGTACAATGCCACTCACAGCTCCTGTAAGTTGTTCAAACCACTGAAAGATCCATTGGAGATCTCTGATATTTCATTGCCTGCAAGAGACCTATAAAGGAGTATCTGTTAGACTAAGGAGAAACTAAAGTGCAAGCGTGCTACATCACTGCATCTCTACTGATTAAAACGACTGGCTGCTTCAATCCATGGGCGGATCAAGGGTTGGTCCAGGGACCGGACCACGCCCCTCTTTTTAGTTACAGCTAGTGCCAAGTGTCCCGGCTCTCCTTTCTGCATTTTCTGGATCTCCCCCCCCCCCCTCCTGTAATTTACAGAATTTTCGTCTTGCGTAAAAGTAAGAGAGGCACTGAAAGTTGTTTTGCTTATTTTTTTTAATATTGTAGTATATATGTTCTAGTTAATTTTTTATCTCAGGTAATTTTTATTTTTCTTTTGTTTCAACTTCATTTGCATACGTTACCATACCCCAAAACAAAAGAAAAACAAAAATTACCGGAGATGAAAAATTAACTACAACATATACCTACTATCGTTTTTGGCTACGGCAATCGAAAACTAAGGGGGACAAGGGAAACAAAAGAAGTACTTACAGGAACTGAAGTCGGGGAAGTCCAATGAATATTCTCGGGGGGATTTCCTTGATTTTGCCTCCAGAAAGAGTTCTAAAAGAAATGGTATAAATTGTCTGAATATGTGGCCAATTAAGGTACCGTTTATTCCCAATTAAAGCAGCCATCAATGTAATAACAAGTTATTCACACCTTCCATACATTAGATTTCCAGGTACATTTTTGTAGTAAGCTGCTACAATGTTCTCTTTAGTGACTATAGTTTTTCGTTGGAATTTTATAATATCGAAAGAGTTAGGTCTCCGACTTATGTTCTAATTACTCAGAAAAAGTGAAGAAAAAACTATTAATAAAGATTAAACGCCAATTTTGAAAAAAGTGAGTTTCTCGCCGTTTACAATGTCTCGTTATTCTTTTGAATTAATTTGCAGATGACCAAGGTTTCTATTGACGGAAACATTGTACGGCAGATGAAGATTTTAAAGGAAGCAAGGCGTGGGAGGACAAATGGAAGAATTTTTGTCGTTATCAGGTAATCCTATGCAACTGAGAATGAGAATATTCTTAGGCATCAAAATATTAACAGCTTAAGTTAAAATCACTCTTTCCAAAATGCTAATGTAACTGGGAAGTACTCCTCCAAAGCAAATTACGTGTGGATTATCATCACTTTAATCGCCAATATAACATACAAAAAAATCCCCAGACTGATCTTTTGCATTTCCTTACAAAATTAGTTGTCATTGAGAGAATTCGGTAAAATATCAAAACATTTTCTCTTTTGTATGCATAACCTTTTCTCTCGATTGGGTATAGCCTGAGAAAACAGCCGACATTTGGCGAAGCTACCGCTGGTTTCCCGCCCAAATGACGTCTGAGAAACGAGCGCAGAAATTCCATACTGATGACACGTCACACACTACCCAGATTTAGGTAGTGACGCGTCATCAGTATGGAATTTCTGCGCTCGTTTCTCAGACGTCATTTTGCGGGGAAACCAGTGGTAGCGTCGCCAAATGTCGGCTGTTCTGTCAGCTGAGGCTAGATTAGGTATTGATATTAGTGAGTTTACGCAACAAGATGGCAAGAAGAAGAGGACGGCAAAACGCTTGTGTCTGACAAACGTGACAGCCGAATGTTATTACTTGTGTGTTTTGTCGTGATCTTCACTTAACACTTATGTTTTCTGGTCTTTAAAAAAGGTCTGTTTAAAGGAAAGTGAAGTTTGGTGAAAAGTTAATTATTTGGAACAAAATTATTGTCACGCTTGTCACAAAAGGCTTGCCTTCTTCTTTCTTCTCCCGTCCTGTTGGGTAAGTTCACTGTTGTTAGGAGAAAATTGATGTCGGTCAATGTTGGGACATTTCAGTGTTAAGGAATACGCAGACTCAGAAGTTTTCAATGAATGTTATTTTGGTACTAGTAATAACCATAGGTTAGGGGGTGTAGGCGAGATCGAAGGTCAAGACGCTCTTGTTCTTCACGTGACAGATGGACGAAATGCGCGTGATCAGATTGCGTTCTATGAATTCCATTCATTCTTAGTGGAAACCTAAACGAATGCTGGCTACATACGTCCCGCGCATTGGTAATAGCAACGTGGAGATCAGGATTACTGGCTCCTGACTGGTTGCTCGCAATAAAACAAACCACGCTAAGTCAATGTTTTTCATGTGCTCAGACTGGTGAGCCAATGGCGAATGTCGTTCTTATAAGGCAAGCACGAGGGATAGTGTGCAATAATATCGGCTGGAGGTCTTGGTGACATATTTTGAGATCACGGCCGTATTGATCCTAACTATCTCATGGAGATCAGATGAATTCGTGTTTACTAAAAATGGAAACATGAAAACACAACAAATCAACGTGGTAGATCTGTAATGGAGACCAGGACTAGCTGCAAAAAAACTTACGTAACTGCTGGCTTCTGATGTTAAAATTAAGGGCTTGACTGTCAGACGCTCGTTAGCTATTACGACCAACTTAAGTTATATAATGCAACTATACCAGGTAATATTCAAGGAAAATTATGGACCTTAGTGTTAAATTACTGTTAAGACCCTCTCAACCACCGTAGTTATTCCTGTTTAGAATTTTTTCGAAGTCAAAAATTTGGCTCTAAAAGAAAAATCGTGTAAAGTAAATTCTTACAAGCTGGTTAAGCTGCTGTCGTGTGTAGTATTGAGGTAATTCAGATCATCAATGGTGCATTCCATCGCCGTGTTGTTACATTGGCAATTGGCGGGACATTTTGAAGCTTGTGAAGAATAAGATGCAGTTACTAAAGCTAAGACGAACACCCATAGCTTGATCATATTGTTGATAATAGTCTGCAAAAAAGAAAAAGGAAATGTCTGTGATTCCTACCACACACCTGCAACTCAACATGGACTTTTCATGTGCTTTCAGAAACTCGTTAATAGTTCGTAAACACAAAGGGAATTAATTGCTAATGAGTGTTTTAAAGTCCGTAAAACACGGCTGAGCTTTTAATCCCGATTTTCTCGAAAGATTATAAGAAAACCTAAGATTATTCGAAAAAAAGGCGATTTGATGGAAAGTTTTTGAAGTCGTTTACTTAGCGCGCAGTTTTTTTTTTCAAAGCCTAAAAACTCGGCTACTCCTTGTGTTTTAAATTTGATAAAACATTACAGCTCTACTCTACTTAACCTCCTGGCCTCTGTTATCACTTCCGGAGATTTTCTTTCCCAGTTCTAACAAATCTTCTTACACTTTAGTATTCAAATGGAACTGTCTATGGCTGTTTCACAGTTTTCCTTCTTTTGTATTTCCGGAATTTTCAAGATAACTCTTGAAGGCCACTTGAATTTTCTCTCTGAATTTTGAACTTTAACCGTGCTGCAAGAGTTAAAGGCTGGTTAATCGTTCAAATTTGAAATATTTTGGCTTAAACATTTTTGGCGGCTTACATCGAATCTGTTTGTGGTGGCTCTCGATAGTCCGTGATTGTTAAATGCCTTACATTTTCGCTCAAATTCAACATCACGGTTCCCTCCATTAATACAGGCTCTAGCCTCGCTGTCGTATCGAGTTATCGCATTATTAGGAAGAATTAATCGGAGAATCAACAATCGTAAGATTAAGGAAGAGACTTGGCAAACATCCTCCCTTTTGATTTGCGTATATTTAATGCTTGATTTTGTCGAACTTGAAAATAGATACCACTTTCTGTTACCGCTACAGTTACAAACAGTCCAAATTTGTGATCCAATAGTCTAGAGCTTTCCAAAAATGTTTCAGAGACATTTGGAGTTCAAACTTTCCTGTTGCTGTGTTTTGTTTCGTTTAAATTTATCCCCGATCATTTCAAACAATAAGGCATGTTTGTGATTTCGTGTTTTCTTTGTCGGTAAATCTTGAATATTTGAAGTGCTGCGAAAATCTCCGATCTTGTGGGATTTCCCCAACACAAAGAAAGGCTTATGCCTCGCTAATTAAAGTCGTTTTATAAAAATGGCTGAAATCGGAGTTAATTACGCATTTGCCGTGATAGGTAATACTAACCCCCTACCTATCAAATGTTCAAAATTTGGACTGTATTTTTTTTTCCGGCAAGGAAAATTTTTCTTTCTTCAAAATTGTTCAGTGCTATGAACGTTGAACACCAACGTTCACTGCTGGCCCAGTGCTCGAAATAGCAGTACATGTACGAGGTATCATTTTGTCAAAATTCATCGAGCTCCCATAAAAGGCCTTTTACCAGTAGTTACATGCATCGATTCAAAGTTTAAGATGGCCTTTAAGTAGCCGCACGTACCGCAAAATGATTGGGAAACGAAGCCGGAAAAAGTTAAGAAAAACGGATTGACAAGAAACTTCACTACCGACGAAAACGTAATCGATAGCTAGCTAGGAAATTACGAATTTGCCGTAAGCATATTTGGTAGTCCTTCCTTTCAAACGAAAATGGTTGTACTGTTTAGATTAAACTCTCACTGTTGAAACTCTGATGTAAAACTAACACGTTTAGCGAATTTCTTTTTAAAAAAGTAATAGATTAAAAAATTTCCTGCTATCAGAGCATTATAAAAAGTTTGAAAGGGTAATATTTCTTCTGATTAACCCAACTTCATCGGACACAATGCGGGGAGATGTGAATTTTAATAAATCACGTTCATTAGTATAGGGTCTTGAGAGCGCAAAAATAGCGCCAAAGATTAAGGGTAATTCGAAGCTATTGTATCTATACAAGAGGGGCTTTCGTAAGCGGATCTCAATTGCCTCCTTTCTGTCACCTTTTGTGATGACGAATATTCACCGGTAAACGTATTAACGAGTCTCAAGCTTCCGTCGCCAGGCTTCACTTTAACGTGAATTAAAGCGCCAATATTTATGCTACCATTTGTCTTATTTTTCGACGGGGAAATAGAATTTTTTTCTTCTCTTGAATTTTGAAAAATGGCAAAGACGGAACTTCGGGGAATTTTTATTTCCCATTGACTGCGCATGAAATGCATACTGACCGGTTTTTGACAAAGTGTAAAAAACATGATCTTTTTCTAGTCTCTATTTATTTAAACTGAATGGCTCTGTCCCTGGTTTCCCAGACGGGGTGATAATTTGAAGCGTGGAGAAAGTCTTGTCTGACTTGGTTTCCATGCGTCGGGGAAACCGTAGACGATTAGGCAGTTTTTCCCGACCGCCCAGATCTTCCCAAAATTTATTGGAATTAAGATTTGCCTCCGCGAGGACATGGCAAAAGTGAGGGCTATCTTTATTTACTGGCTGTGCTTATTTGTTTGTTTGTTTTTAAGCAAGTTAGACGTCTTCTAAACCCTAACCTTCAGCGTTACAATCGAAACACATGGTTTAGTCAGCTTAGAGTGATCTCCGACCATCGCGGAAATGTGTAGAGCAACAGTAAAAAGAAAACCCCCGCCGGAATCTTCATCTTTCAGCAAAAATGAAAACCGAAAAGTTAAGATTGCATTTTGGATTTTTAAGCTTCGAATTTGTCGTAACCATAATTATTCCTGATATCGTAACGTTACGTGAAACAATATGATGTATTTTTCGTAAACAGCGTTTTATAGGTTCAAGAAATGTTCGGTCAAATTTTTCCAAAAGCTTTTAATCGCACGAAAACTGCACGATGAAGAATAAGACGTTATATTCCGCATTCGATGTATAAGGGAATAATGAAAAAGGTTGTTTTCATCGTCTTAGCATACTGGATTATAAACTGAAACATAGACAAAAAAATATGATAATCGATTTTACCATCCGAAGGGCTCTCATACTCTGATTTCTGTAAAATTGCGACTCTCCATTAACCAGTATATGTATATTATTCTACCTTGTTTCGTTCACTGAGAATAGAAGAAGAGTGCAAAAAGAAAGCTTGCCATATTTACCATTAATGTTACATACCTTTCTCGTTTAATATTCTGCAGCCTCTTCGCTGTCGATTCTACTCGGTTTTATATAGAAAACCTGTTAAATGGATTTATTTAAAACAATGGCTTTTAAAAACTGTTTTTCTTTTTATCGCTCGTCAATATAAATCATTCAAGTCTGAAATGAAATTATTTTCCCTCCCCGTTTTTATTGAAATACATCCGGGGGAAGTTCTACTTTAAATTAGTTTTAACCAGTTGTCCTTTCCCAAGAATTCGTTCCCCGTCACCGTCAAAACAGAATATTGTTTTTAAATACCTACATGTACCGCCAAAACAGAATACGTTTTTTAAAATACCTACCGCCTTTTGAAATATTTACACAGTGGTTGGCTGCAATCTTTGATTGCAATTTCTCACAGTAAATTTTTGTTTTGCTTTCTTTGCCTTTCAACAGAGAACATGACTGTATATAATGTCTCTTGTTTAACAGCCTCATGTACTGTGGCCACCTAAAACGGAAGGTAAACTAAACTTCTCCCTGCTACGCTTTACTTCATTATAAATAGTATAACTAAATCAAAACCTTCTTTCAAGCTGACTCGTGGTTTCGACAGTCCACTGCGAGATGTCTCTCCAGGGAAACGCTCACATAAGCACAATTGAAAGAGAGATTGAAAATTGATCTTTTTTCAACAATACAAGTTTTACATTTAGTTTTGCCATTCACTGTTATTAATATTCTACAACAATACCCCTCTTCGTACTAAAAAAAAGCAAAAAAAATGTTTAAAACATCTGCCTCCATGTTGCGAAATCATGGGCCAAATTAAATATTTCTCCAAAATATTTGTGCTGACTATTTATTTTACGTTTCCAACAAATTCCATGTTTGAGTTGCGTTTCTGACTTAAATTTTGCTACTCCCCAAAACGCGGATTACTGACTTCGGACGTGATGCAGTGTACTAATAAATTATTGATCTCATCTAAATTTTATTATTTTTGATCGACCGATGGTTTTCGTTGCACCATTAGTCTTTTTCCCCTACCGACACCGATCTACGCTGCAAGCAGAGGTTTTTTTCTTACATGGCTTTTAGCGTTTACTAAGTCCTTCGCGTGGCTTTGCTACAGAGGTTTCTCACGTGGCGTTAACAAACCAACTACGCCACAGACAAGCAACACGAACGACTTCGTGAACGCTAAAAGCGATGCAAGAGAGAAACGTCTGCTCGCAGCGTAACACCGATCTGTTTACTCATTTTCGTTCGAGTGTGGGCGTTTTTTTTTTAAATTTTATAACGTTTGCAAACCAAGCCCAATCAGAGGTCAGAAACAATGACATAAAACTCAGTTCATTTTCCATAGACTACCGATGTATTTGTAAAACGCTACATGGAGAATATTAATTTAGAGGCGTGAAAAAGACAAATATTAATTATTGATACACACGAAAGCTTATTTCTGAAATGTCTCTTGCAAAAGTTTTCTTCTTTCTTCTCAATTTACACTTTTCAAGTTCTCCCACTCTCATAAACGTCTGAGTAGTATTTTATTCTATGACCGTACATTAAGATGTGTTATGATGGTTCGTTCTTTCTTTGTCAAAAACTCAGGACCTTCAGGGGCGTAGCTAGGGGGGGGTCCTGGGGTGCCCGTGACCCCCCCTTGGTAGGCCTTCTTTTGAGCAAACAACCTACAATATTCAGGTAGCGAAAACGCCATGACAATATCTTGGCCGTAAAAGCCATTGAATTTGTTTTTTTGTGAAGTATTTTCGTCAACGGCTCTTGTCTTTAGTTAATATGGGCGTGGAGGTCGACATGACAATCTGGTGAGTAGCCTCTGTGACCCCCCCTTTGAAAAATCCTGGCTACGCCCCTGACCTTTTTGGGGTTAACTGACTGACGCAAATACGCTTTTGTGTTCCTATGGTAATTTGAATGGCGCGGTTAAAAGGTACAAATTGAAAACAGATCTTTCAGTTTTGTTAATAATTTAAAGCGGTTGTGTTTGGCTCACTGGAAAGGCCAAGGCGAAATGAAAGTGTCTCGCTTTCTAACAAAATAAATGATTTAAAAGATGTGTGTCGGACTAGGTTTTAACGGCCTGGTCGAGCGAAGTTATCTAAAGTAACACTAATATATCTAACGTATTAAAGTGAAGTGATTATCAAAATATTATGCAGTATTAAAAATAAGCAACATATCCTAGCCAATTAAGCCACCTTTCCTCCCTGGACTCTCAGCGCAGAGGGGGAGAAAGAGAGAGAGGGAGAGAAAAGATAGGACGTTCGCGCTGCCATCAAAGGAAAATGTTTTTCAGTTATGTTCGACTTAATTTAACCACCACAAAATTCTTGTCATTTTTGGTGATAAATTATTCTTGACAACTTTTTTTAAATTTAATAAAACAGTTGCAAGTAATGCTTGCCGTTATTGAAACAAAAAACAAATAAATAATTTAAACAGCAGCAACGACACTACTTTTTACATCGGCGAATACAACGCTGGTTTTCATTAAATGGGATTTCTGCAAGGGTAAAATTTACCTTAAGATTTTAATAATTCATTGTTATTTGCTGTTTTTTTTTCTCTTAAAGGAATTAGCCAGCGGGCTCCTTTGTAAATTGGAATTGTTAATATATATATGTATGTATGTATGCAAAAGACGATCAATTCATGACATCAGATTCAATAAAAGCTGTCCTATCCAATTCAGATTATATGACGCCATAATGACACGTAAACTACATTTGGGATAAACATAAGAGTATTATTATGCTGCTTCTTTCATTTCAGTTTTAAGTGCCTGGATTTCAGAAGAAACGCTTATCTTTTTTACTTTAAGAATTTGTGAATAATAATGCAATTCAATTGTATTCAATCATGAGGTATTAGGTGCTGCGTTCTAAGTTACCAATCTTAGCTACAATGTTTGATCGAAGAAAATCGGGATCGAAGTAATTGTTTGCGCATCCTTCAGTTTTGTTCCTTGACTTGTCTCCCTCCGTTTGCTTCAAACTCGCACTCGTCTAAAACTAGGAGTAGTCGGAGCTCAGGAGAGTGCGTTCGATATGTTTGTAATGCGTGCTAGTAGCAGTTGAGGAGGAAGAGTGGATAGTTATTTCGATAGATTAAGCCCGGTTTCCATATGATCGCTACGATCGCTGTGATCGCTGAGAAATTTTTTGAAAAAAGTGTAGCGATCATATGGAAACCACTCTCCAGCGATCACAGCGACAACGATCGCTGAGAGAGAACTTCCATGATCGCTGCGATCGCTGAAGTTTTTTTTTCTCAGCGATGGTAGCGATCATATGGAAACCGGGCTTTAATTTGATCATGGCATATTTTAAACGTAAGGATTGCTTACAGCGAAACCTCTATTTAAACTGTGTATCATTATGAAAAAGCCTTGAAGGCTAGTGATATCGTATGGTCCGTCTCAATAATTGCAGTAATTTAGTCCAGTGTGTTGATTTCAGTGACTTGAGTGGAGCTACCGTGGGCTGTTTATAAGTTTTTCCGAATAAATAACATCGACGTAAAGTGTTCGTTTGTCCGGTGCCGAAAATATCACAAGGCATGATGAAATGGCGCTGCCGAGCTTCAAATCTCGGTAGATTTACTTTGTGGCACAACGGCCGCCGAGCTATACAACTCGGTACAACGGCCGCCGAAACGTTTGAAATTCAGCAAACACAGATCGATAGTACACCTTCAGCAAACTCTTGAAATATGTACGCTTTACGAAGATTCAGCAAACTTTTAAAAGATAACGCTTTACGAAGACTGAATAGCAGACCTCAGCAAACGCTTGAAAGATGAACGCCGAGGACATACGAATCACCATGTGAGTTAGTGCGTCAAAGTGAGGCAAAACGTAAGCAAGCGCCTCAAGGCGAGGCAAATGTGTGTCGACACACAAAATGCAATCTCAAAAAACCTCGCCTATTAATTGCACAGGACACCCAATAATGCACAGAACACAATAACTAGGATCGTCAAAGTCTTAATTATTTTTGTTGTCTTTTTTCTTTCCCCATAATTTTCGTAAACGATAAAGAAATTTCTTGTTTAGTGTCTCTACAGAGCCAAAATAAAACTTGTTTAGAAGTGGGCCTTTTATTTAACAGTAATATGGGTTCAAGGGGACGAAACAAGCAGGAGTTGTTAGGGAATATCTTTAACGATGAGACTCAGTCGTAACCAGATAAATTAATCCGTTTTTTTTTTTTATAGGAAAGTGAGAGTCGACCAATGTGGCGCAGGACCGGGTCCTGGGGTCCTGGACACGACGCCCTATGTGAGTTGAATTTGCTTGTTGATGGTAATTCTCTCCCTTGATGCCCGAGTCTATTTTCTGGGTACTCTTCCTAACAGCAAGCACTTTCAAATTGCAATTCGATCAGGAATGGTGAACGAAGAGCCTGAATGAGGATACGCTATATTACTTCTAAATTCTTATTTATTTATTTATTTATTCATCTATCTTTTTGACACTCAAAGGCGATGATTGCCACCCCCGTCCTTTCTTGTAGCCTTAAATAGTGTCTCGATTTTGTCAGGAATTAATCTGAAATTTTAGGAGTTATTGGGCCACGTCAGCGTCTCTTTTCAAGACTTTCGTTTGTCATCCATTTTAAACCCCCTCTTCCTAGACCATCTTATTTCTTTCAGTATTTATTCAGGTGATCTTCCATAATACCAAAATATTGTTCAAGTTTTTTTTTCCTCTAAATCCAATGTAATTCAGTTCCGCGTTGCTACGTAATGGTTCGAAATATCAGCTCACGGCAACAGAACTTTAGATATGCATATTTAAATAAGTACGTAAATAAATAAACAAATAAAAGATAAATAAATAAATAAATAAATAAATAAATAAATAAATGTAGTGAATCCACAGATTGGCTCCTCTCTGCCATTTCCCAGGTCTTATTGGAATGGAAATGTTGGTTTTGAGGAGAGGAAAACCGGAATTCCATCGGAGGAACGAACAACAAACCTAACCTACATATGGCGTTGCTTCTGGGATGTGAACCTGGGCCACATTGGTAAGCGCTCTCATCGCGCCCCCACCCTTCTCAGTTTGCTATCACATACAGCAACATACAGTTTTTTTGAAAGTATTTGTTTAATATATCTTTCTTTTCAGAGCCTCGGAAAAGGTCTGATCTTATTTGACATGCAATTCCCCCTACTTCCTTGAGAGGGCAGCCGTTCTATTACAGCATATTTTAGCCATTAACTGGAAGTTGTCACATTTAAGGTAAACTAGTTAAAATTTAGTTCAGCACGATATGATTAAAGCGTTTTTAAGTTTCCTTTACTTATCTTTGTTTTTTTTTTTTCCACTTCAAGTGTAATTCATGCCTTTTCATCAAAGAATTATCTTTAAATTTGAACATTGCAAATTGAACAAAAGAATTTATAATTTAAGTTCTTCTTCCTCTTCTGTAGGGATGATATCACAGTCCATCTCGTTGAATTCTCCTTCATTGCCTTCGGAACCCTTTCGCATTATCTTCGGTGCTCGATTTTTCCGAGTCGTACAATCGAAGTTCGATCGATGGCGATCGCGGGATGAAGGACTTGAAAAACCTCGGCCACACTTTTCGCAAGTGTAAGGCTTCTCTCCCGTATGCATGTTCATGTGAAATTTGAGCTCGTAGGATTGTGCAAACGCTTTGCCGCAGAACTCACAAATACAGGGCTTCTCTTTAGTATGAGTGCGTCGCACGTGACTATCATGCGCGGCGTGAGATGCGAAAGCTTTTCCACAATGGCGACATTTAAATGGTTTTTCGCCGCTGTGTTGTCGAATGTGAGTGCGTAGAATCGATGACGCCGTGAAGGCTTTGATGCAGTAGGGACACTTGTAAGGCCTCTCGCCACTGTGCACTCGCAAATGTTTGTTTAAACTCGACGACTGAGAAAACCGCTTGCCACATTGACTGCATTGATGAGGTCTGTGTTTCTCGTGCACGTGCAGAATATGAATGCGCAGACGATCTCGCTTCTCAAAGGAACGGTTGCATAGGTGGCACGGGTACTTTCGGTCGCCCTGGTCCACGCACCGCGTATATTTCAAATGCTTATCTCGGTAGTACTTATAAGCAAACACTTTGCCACAACGGTCACAAGCAAAGCTGTCTCCACCTGTATTGGAAATATAACGTACATTGTCACATGTTCAATATTTCATTATAACATAACAAAAGTAAAGCGCGCGCTCTGATTGGTCAATTACCCATTTACTATTTGACCCATGGGTGAATGGTGGCGAAAGCTAGCGTGCGCTCAAAGCCGTACGCGTCACTTTCTACGGCCACTCTATTTTTTCCTCTTTGGTTTTGTCTTGATACTGAAAGAAAGTTTATGCGTAAAAGGTTGTGTAATCCACATTGAGACGAAGGACTTAATTCAGCAAAACGATTTTTTTTTTTAATGAAAAGCATTTACCACGAATGATTTGCACACCCGATAGCGCGACAAGATGACAGCACACACGTTATTCCTCTGCCGTCTGTGAGCGAAATTGAAAGTTTTTCTCTTTTGATTATGGTAATGATACACGGCTCAGCGGTTATGGGTGGAGCCCGTGTCCAGTTCACGTGGGGGTTGAGGGGGTTCGATTTTCGTACGGAACAACAGCTGTACTTACCAAGACCTCCATCGTTTTCTATCTTGGACAGTTTAGTCTTCATAGTGATTGGAATTCCCATATACTTGAGATAGGTATCTCCGTACCAAACCAATAACTCGCATCCCTCTGGCACTTCTTTGCACACTTCATAAAACACTTCTCCATCCTCTTGAACTAGAACCAGGTTCTGCTCTCCGTCATGTCTTGCGCAGTTGACGTATTTCATCCAGTTTCTCTGGTCTCCTGCTCCATCAACGTAGTGAGTCAGTTCTCCATCCTGGAATACCTTTAACATAACGATAAGACGGACAGTAAAACTAACTTAGTTGATTAAATAGAACTCTTAGTAAAATACATAAATAAATAAATAAATAAATAAATAAATAAATAAATAAATAAATAAGCATTCTCACACTTAGAAGGGGTTAATGGCAATCAAGAAAAAGAGAGTGAGAAAATGGCTTCTTGAATGACTTTCTTCTATGAAGGAAGTGTGAATGTCAACCGGACTCTTACTGGCGTAAAATTTTTCGGAACTTCTGCTTTTGAGTTTTTGATCGTGTGAGATGGCATATCACCCAATACTTAGACACTTCGAAATCGTTTTAAGGAGTTAGGCCGTGTTCTGTTTGATCAACCTCGCTGTGTTTCGATGTAAATGCAGAGGACATTAAAATGACCCCTCGCCTCACGATAATTACTAAAGGGACTCCTGCTCTGTGTTAAAATGGATTAAGGTCGGATGAAGATCCTTTAGTAAATAGGGCCCCCGCTCGATCATCTAGTCCTTAGGATAAGGGGTTGCCCTGTGGGTCTCACTTTAGTCCAAAAATAAGGTGGAAGCCCCCTCCTTTAGATCTCCCATAATTACGTACCTCCCATACGCTGTTGTTTTCATGAGGGCCCATTTGCTGTGGTAGAACAATGTTTCCAGTGTAAGGCCCATATCGAGTTCCTTTTGCTATTCTCCGCTGACCGCAAAACACCCCTCGATGTCTCCCAGTAGGCAGGATCGTCTCGACGATCTTGAGATTTTCTGGTAAGTTTTGCACGTTCCGCTCTTCCTGAATCATGTCCATGTACGGTATTGGGTGACCGGGACTGTGTTCGTGATTTGCTTTAGAAATATTAGGAAGCCATGGATTCCAATGTTCTAAATAAATAATAGAAATACCGGGCAATTAACACAGCCACCTCATAGCATTATAGGCAGCCTGTTTTCTGGCTCCTTATTCGCTATGGAACTCAACGTCAATGAAGAAAACAGTGCAGGATCCAGACCTTGAGATAAGGGGGGAGGGGGGGCGGTCATCCAGACCCTGAAATAAGGGGGGGGGGACCCAGTCTGCAAAATTTTTTTTCGGCCCTTTGGGCTTCAGTTTGGTCTAAAAATAAGGGCCCCCCGGGCCCCTTCCCTAGATCCTCCACTGGAAACTAGCTGTAAAATGACAAAATCACAGCTTCGCTGCAGACAAATGTGTCTCCCAAGCATTGTATCATACTTTACAAACATGCTTTACAAAAACTGTTAGCCTAACAAGTTTTCAATAACCACAATTGGAATCCGTTTTAATCTGGCTTCTTCAAAGTTTGCCCATCCGTACTTTTTTTGTATTTTCTGTGTTATTTATTCCCTATTCTAAATAACGTTTTGAGCGGTAGTTTTTATGTTTTACTCGATTTGATGATAGTTTCCAGTGTTTGAAGTTTCAGTGATAAATTTCGTGAAACAGCTTCTTTAAGTAGTTTTTTTCGTATGTTTTTATTTCTACTTTAATATATAGATTTAGCCAAGGTCAAAAGCGAAGCTCTCGAGGGATGCTTTAAGAAATGTCTTTCTTAAGTAATTCAACTTTTGCTGTAAGCAAAAGCAAACTATATCCCTAAGGAGGGCGCTTACTCGAGAGGGGCGCTTGTTTGATATTTAGCAATTATTGAATGAGGCCAGGAGCTCCTGATGAGGCTGAGTATCATCTGAAGAATTATGGAGATCGAAGCAGATACCACCCTCCGAGATCTCCATAATTCTTTAAATGATACGACAGCCGAATTCAATAATTGTTTTATTATTCATTCAAAAGAATTCCTAGTTTAAAAACAAGCCGAAACATGCTTACCTCCGTCGATGTTAAGTTCATCTCGATAGTGCATGTTTATCTGGAAGTTTAGGAGATAAAGGGCTGTCCAGGTCTGCGAATATACTCCATATAGCAGATGTCGTCCGTCGAGTTGTCTTATTGCTGTTCTTGCTATATTTTTAGACAATAGTTGGCTATGAAACGAGTAAAATGTTCCGCCATTTTGTACTCTCTACCAAAACAACTCAAACTCGTCCCCAGGTTTTCTCGGTTAACGGTTCAATAATCTGTCAATTGTGCTGCACGATTGACGTGATCAGTTAAATATCGCAAATTTTTTCCAAATTTGGTCGACGTGAATAGCTGGTTATGATGAATTATGCGTGGGATTTTAGCCAGTCAGAAATAGCGAAATATTTTGAATGAATAATAACATAACATCACATAAAAACATAACTTTATTATTTATATAGCGCAAAATACATGGGTATATGATCTAATACATAATATGGCTTACAAGGAGGGCGTTTATTTGGAGTAGGACGCCTGTTAGGGCGTTGGCGCTCATTTGGGAAACTACGGTAAATACCAAGTTTTCAAACTTACCATTTGCCAATGCAACATAAATGCCAGAGAGTGCAAAACCATTAGTGGACTTTTCTGGAGTACGAATATATCCGTAAAGCACGTTATCAATATCTTGTTGAGTGAATGTGAACGGAAAATACACAGAAGAGTCTCCGTACTGCATTCTTGCTTTGACTTGAGCTGAAACACAAACAATAGTCCCAAATCAGTAATAAATACTTTCACAGACTCCAAATTATTGCTGGTTTTCACGTGACGTCACAGCGGCCATGTTGGTAGTGAAGACCAATAGCATCTCTCTGCGCTGGGAACTTTATTGTATTGACCACGAACATGGCCGCCATGTCACGTGGTTGCAAACCAAGAATACCACCTGGTACCGAAAACTAAGGAGTACCACAGAAAAGCAAAGTTCAGTTAAGGTAGCTCCATAAGGTTTTTCAAGGTCAATACCTCCCAAGTTTGAGCATAAACTATGTCGCCATTGACAAAGATGTGGAAAATTTACCACCACAGCTGTATTGGATAAAGATCTTTCACACATGTTTTAAAAAGGTTGAAACTACTATGAGGTGAAATTGCATTTCAAAAGCGCCCTTCGCTTTCTACAGATAACGGCTGAACATAAAGATTGTCCACTTTTCTCCTTATTTCCAACCAAATACCTTCATCCCAAAATATCCCGATAACGCTCTAACAGATTTCGCTTAAACTTCACAAACACAATGGCGGCTATTGGAGAAAGAGCTCCTGTGAACGATTTTGGAAGAACAGTTCCCAATGCCGAGAAATATGGCTGAGAGCGAAATAAGCAATGGCGTCATTTCGTTGCTATGACAACTCTGATGTCAATGCCACCCTGATCATAACAAATTGTGATCTCTATCTAATGCAGCTGTGGTGGTAGTTTTTCCTAGCCTTTGTTAATGGCGACGTAGTTTATGCTCAAATTTGGGAGGTATTGACCCTGAAAAACCCTATCAAGCCACCTTAACCTTATTTACTTACAGACTTAAAAGTTAGAACCCAGTTCTAACTTGTGCGTTATTAGATACAGCATGGTTACCATAGCGTTTGAATTAAAACATTGCCTAAACCAGGTGGAAGTCATTAAAATATATTCATTATTTATCATTTAAAGAGCAATTGCTTTTTAATTCATTCTAGATACTGCTCCTACATTTCTTTCTGTTTTCAGTTTTAGTCTTTCATTTATTTATTTACTTACCATTATTCATTCATCTATTTATTTATTTATTGTCGCATATGCAGAAAATACGTTATTTGAAGAAAAAACTGCGAAGAGATCTTGGCAGGTGATGAAAATTTAATACATGATTTTAAAATTGCACATAATTCGTTAATATGCGGATAGGAAGTCATTTTCTTTAAACAAACCCAAAGGGATTAATTATAATAACAATAAAGACAACTGTGAATTAAGAATCGAGCAGTCAATGGATTTGTTAACTTTTAGCTCACTCACCAAGGAAGATAAAATTCAACTCAGTTACAAAAAAAAAATGCTTTCTAAAAATATACGACACTGGTGAATCTCGATCGTAATACAAATTCTCGTGTTATGGCAGTACATGTCTCTGAACACCTGAATAACTCGTGGTGACTTAACCTAGAAGAAATAAACTGCCTCGCTTTATGTCAGCTGTTGTTATCACTTCTGTCTTAATTTTGTTGCTATGTAACATAATCCGATGACAATTGTGTCTGCTTTATTATTATTTTTTTACCAGCTAACATCCCTTGAACTGGCAGACTTAACGGTCGTCAGTATATTTTTCAAATGTTATTTTTCAATTTCACAAAATTTCAAACTGTCTGTAACGCCGCTGGTAGCATTCGACGAAGTATTTGGGTTTCGCCGCTGTATTCTTTGTTACATCCTCAGAACTTACGCTGTATTAATTTCTTTTAATTTTTATTCGTGGATTAACAAATTTCAATAATATTGGAGTTATATCTCAGATCCTCAAATAAACTCCTCAACCTAAATCAAATTTTTGAAAAAGTGGAAACTTTGGTTGAATTTTGCCTTGATAAACTATATTTTAAAAGTGCCTTTTTCTTTTCCTTTTTTTGTATTCACTTTTTAACTACAAGGATTTTCGGAACCACAGCCTTAATCAGCTCTATACAGTTAAAGCAGTCGAAATATAAATTATCGTATTCTAAACACTAGAACTGTAAGTTATTAATGTCAGTCAGAAAAGCTTCCGCTCTTTAAAACACTCATGAACAGAACTCTGACTTCGTTAGTTAGGCTAGCTCCTGACTATTCGTTTGGCACATTTCCTGACCATTGGAAAAATTACAATTTATAACAGTAACTGTTTCTAATATTAATTGCCGGAAATGTAACCGGCGGCACCGTCTTTTCCTGAACTATAACGTTAATATTAATGATCACTTTTTTGCCAAAAAAAAAAAATAAATAAATAAATAAATGTGTAAAAAGCTAAGTATTTGTGGATATCTCAGTTTTTGACAAAGGTGTTAAAATTGTGTCGGGATGAATTAAACCACGCTGACAATCTTAAAAGATTTCTATGTGAGCTGTTGGGTTTAATATTTCGTTAGTTTTGGTCAGTATCGCTTTAACGAAACTAAAATAGCAGTTTTTTCAAAAAAGTCGTGATGATTGAATGTTAATTTTGAACATGAAAAAGCAGTTTTTTCTTTCTTTTCGCCTTACAATGTGTTTTATGCAAGGTGTGGAAACAAAAGCTAAATGAAGTTCACATTTATTTCAGATGCAAGCCAAGAAGGGATGTACGGCTCAATAACTTTGTTTAAACGAAACAATCGAGCGAAGCAAATATTCAACAATTTTGTGTTTAATGTAAATACTCGCAAGTGCCAGGCCAGTTTCTTTGCTCTTTTTTTTTTTTTTTTGACTCTTTTACTTTTGTTCTACAACCTATTAGCCCGATGATAACGCAAATTAAATCGGCTAAATAAACTGCGAATCAGATATAAAGTATTAGGCAACATCGATTTGGTCACCACGGCGTGCGCTAAGACTTTTGAAAGGGAAGCGCAATTCTAAATTTCCCATTGCTGAAATGTAAGTTGTATCTCTCTATATAATCAGCTCATTAATGGTGTTTAAAGATAAATTTAAGCAGTTAAATAAACTTCGCAGCGGATGTTTACTAGACATTGGAACTAAGAAGGTGGTCTTTCGTTCTTTCGCTCAAAAACAGGGTTGCTAAAACCTTGTATCTACTGCCTTAAGGGCTGAATTTTTTCTTGTGGAAGGTAGTAAATTAACCCTTCAAAATATGTCATATTCGAAAGAAATTCATTCTTTATTATCAGTTATTCTTCTTACCTTTCAAAATGTCTCTGCGTGTTCTAGTTGACTTCTCTGTTACTTAGGCTTGGGTGTTAGATTGAAGGTCTTCGTTTAACACACCTTAAAGGCCAATCTAGCGAATTCTAATCTCGGCAAGATTATGCTTTCCCTTTTAAAGCCTTATTTAAATAATGCGAGGTAACTCCAGATGTTAACAAAGACAGCAATTTAATGGCGGAGAGTAAATTTGCTCCACCGACAGCGATAACGTCAGTTTTGTTTTTGTTAAGCGATATAATGAAAATTAGCAAAGTCTCTTTTGTTGACTTTTTCTTCACGTGTAATGGTTGTTGAGAAGTTCTGAAGTAATTGGCTACTTAAAGCATCTCCGAATTTGTCCTAACTTTCACTCCTAAAGAAATACTCCGCGAATTTTGTTGGAATAAATTGGATTTCTCTTGGTTTAAACTTCCTTCTGGTATCAAACTTTGTAAAAAATTCATGATCTTTGATCCTTATCCAACATTTTTAATAATTAGTAAGGTTTCCCTGGCGTTTACAAACCGCCGCTTGTGGGAAGCTTCGATGCGTTTATGCCTTATCTATAATATGGCCTTGAAAACGTGCAGAAATTAAGGATGCTAATAAAGTTGAATTTTCAATCCTTGTACCACTTTGCGTACAAACACATTTGTTACTATTATTATTATTACTTTTATTATTATTATTTTTGTTCTTCTTTTCACTACTGGACAATTTTTCACAGTTCCTATAAATTCCTCAGTCATGACCCAGCATTTTAAAATGTTACTTATCACTAGCACCATCTTTGATTAAAAATATAATAAGAAAAACGTTGGAAATGAGAAGTTATGTCTCAGTAATGCGGCGTCAAAACGCTCCTTATTACAAAATAACTCGATCACTGTAATTATTTATTGAACTTCTCGCTTTGGTGAAAATTCAATCGTTCAAAACACATGCGTTACAATCATCACAAACAAAACACGGCCGTGGAATCAAGATGGCCTGTGCGTCACCACCTAGCGCATATGCCCGAAAACGTAAAATGAAAAATATACGGCATCTTTAGAAACGTATTAAAAGCGTGTTTACCTTTAGAACGCGTTCAGGTGATCCTAACTAAGGTCACCAATTCTAGTTTTTTTGTTCCTCAAGCATCTAAAAACAACTTATTTTAAGTAAACGAGGAGTGGAATAAATTTTATTCCGAGGTAGCCATTTATAGACTTCTGAATACCAGCGAATAAATAAGATAACTATATCTGTGAGTTCCATTTGTCATTAAATAAATCGTGATATCTGACTCTTTAACGACGAACTCTTTGATGTTTCCAATGGAAATCTAAAGAAAGTAGTCTCATGAGGCTTCTATTGTGTCTAAACTACTTTTTTACTAGGGATTAGCATGGTCAATTGAAGTTAACTACAACACGCCTTATTTCCACAAAATATAATAATTTACTCCCAATGTTTCTATTTTTTTCTTCGCGAGAAACGAGGAGGTAATGAAAGAACATGTAAGGCGAAAATATAAGTAATTAAGGTATAAAAAAGGATGATATATTATAAAAATTAAACTACAGTTTAAGGGTAATTTAAAGAGAACAAGGTTATATTCGAATTAGGCTTATCAATTTTTGACTTCGAGGTGAGGCCATTTCTCTTCTCCCATTGTTTTGGAAAGAAATTTTTCAGTGTACAATAAAAACATTAGTAGAGAAAAAAATTGATTCAGTACTTTGACTAAGAACCAGATGTAACAGAAATGGATGAGGCAATTAGATTTTTTTGTTGCGTCCCCAGAAGAAAGAAAGGCAAAAGCAAACTTTGTGAACATTTATTGTGTGTAAAACCGCGGCTTTTAGAGCAATCTAAGGATCTAGATCGAGATGCAGCTTGTTAAACTTTAGTTTTTGTATTTTTCCTCAAGACAGAGTTTTTTCCTTTTGTTTCCGAAAAAATCAAGAATTTGTGCAAAGGCAAAAAAGAGATTGGAAAAGGTGTCATGTTGATTTTCATTTCTAATAAACCTTCTCATAAACAATTTACTTAATGTTAAATCGTGGTAAGAAAAGGGAAGATTATTCTCAGTAGATAGCATCGAACAAAATACATGTGTGAGTTGTTTAAGTGACGAGAAAATTTAAATTCAATAAACCGCAAACATTGGATGCCTTTTGACGTGTTAGTGAATGTTGTTGCGGAGATAAGGAAATTTTTACGCTTTCAAGTTTTTACCAGCTTACAATCTGGGTAGTGACTGTAAAAGTATTTGATGATCCTTTCTCCCTTGTTTGGCGTTGTTCTGTTTCATTTGTTAACGTAAACTTTTTTACTTCTAATATCGATAGAGATGAAATTTTGATTTTCAATTTTTTTTCTATCTTTTCTGTTCTTTTTCACCTTAAATCTCAAAGTTTGTTTCATTCCGGGTTCCAGATTGCTTTTATATTAGCTCATATTTGAGGATTTTATTTTGACATAGAGTTACAACCTCAGAAATAATTTTCAAGTTGGGGACTCGGAATTAAGGGATTACAAAGCCTTGAAGAAAAAGGCAACCATTTAATAACCGCCAATATGGCCCTACCGTTAGCGACAAGCCAAGAAATATCGTGGTTTATCACATTGCCTTGCTAAGATTATCATAAACTTATCTAACGACTCGTCTACGCACATTTCAGTTAAAAGTCAAATTAAAACCGTGCTTTGTACATTTCTCTAACATTAAAAAACGGATTATATTATAATGCAGGATGACTTTAATTTTTTTAATTTTTGTATGGACACTTAGATCATTCTTGAACAAGTAAAATGATAAACATGTTCATTGCTATCACGTTGCGGTATCATCGTGCGGCCCGTTTCTTTCCATTTACGCAAAATATTCAAAATGAATTATCTATTACGTCGCACTCTTAGGCAAATCAAGTTGTGATATGGCCTTCGACCATGGCTGCAAACTGAAATTAGTTACCTGTTATCACTACGTACTATCTGCAGGATAAAAAAATATTTCCTAGTTCTCCTGGTTACAGTTCTTTTTTTGTTTTCGTCGACGATTGAAATACATTTGAGTGCGAAACTCAGGCTTCAGCAGAGGACTTCAGGAGTATTACAAGATAAACAGATTGCTTGCCTCATTAAACGTGATTCGTTGTTAGGCCCTTTGCTCTCGAAGTGAAACTATAAACGTTTGTCGAGATTTAAAATTCTGATTCTCCATGGATAGCAAAAATTAACCATTTCGCATAGATTTATAGATTATTCATCACTTTTCTCCTAAGACATAACCATTTTCAGGATAAATTTAGAATCTTCTCTTTGTTTTGGTCGAGGGGTACTTGCAAGAGTAATAATCAATTATAAATTCATTTTTATTAAATTGGCTAGTTTAATGTTTATAAACATTGCTTGGGAAAACACGAAACCAAGGATTTTTTTAATTTTAATATATTTGGAAAGTATAAATTTTTACAGTCGAAAATCTATGAGAATATGAAATTCGTTTAAATAGTTAAGGGTTAAAATTACCAACTGCTACGTGACATACACGGTCTATTACAAATTCGGTCTACACTAGTGAGGTTAATAAAGTATGCCCTAACTGTTTGTGTTCCCTTGGTTAAAACCTTAACTCGGCAGAAAAGGTTCCGAAATGTATACTGAAAACCGTTTGATTAATTTTTAAAGGTCTACATATTAGTATCTGACTGGCTTTTCCAGAATTAGCCTTGGAATGTGAGATTTAATTGAGGAAGTAAAGTTTTATGTTCTGAAACAAGTGAGAGATTTTGTTTATAACGAGATAGCACTTGGAGAATGCAAACACAAGACGGAGGTCGACCGAGGTTCATACGGACCAAACATGTGACCACCAAACCCAAAGCAGCTAGGGTTATTACTATCCAACCCCTCCCCCTCCGTCATCTTTGGATGAAGACGGGTAGTGAAGGTTGTTAGGTTTTCTGAACATAAAGCAACTTGAAGTATAACTACCTCTTCCAGGGCATAGAACGCTAGTCCATCACAGGTTCGTTTGCTTACATTATAAATCCTGAGTGCAAAATCAGTCGATCAGGGGCCTAGCTGTACATTAGAGCGGTTTTCATTTGAGTGTCGAAAAGTAATTGGTTTTGCACTTTCTACACGATGCGATTGGCTTAAAAGATTCGCGCCACCTTTTCATCCAATCAGAAGTAAAACCAAAGCCAATTGTGACAGCATTTTCCCGCGCTTTGCGTCAGCCACATGTAATTACTTCGAGTTATGATTGGTTCAATGTATTGTCTGTGTCCTATGTGATTGGCCAGAGTAATTACTTTGGTTTTGGTTTTACGACACTCAAACGAAACCCACTCTAATGTCGTCGATACCAAAGTGTTTGACCCCCTTTAATGAATATGCAGAAAGAGGAAAAATTTTTGAAAAATTTTTAAACAGGAACACACCTTAGTTAATGAAAATGAGAAAATGACAGCTTTATAATTCCTGAAATCTTCGTCCATTAGCTCTCGCTGAGATGCACGTGTCCCCTTAAAATCAGGAGGCTTGCAAAAATACCTTAAGCTTTGAAATCACTATCTTTGTGAAAAAAAAAATCGATTTTCTGAGACCTTTCTGCGATGCGCCAAACGCATACGTAGTCACAACAGCAAACAATGTAGTTGAACAATTGGCTGCATTCCCGCCGGAATCTAAGGTCTCCGGGCATGCGCACAATTAAAATAAAAATGCACCTGTAGAACATTGGGTGAAAGGAAAACAATATTACGTCCAATGTTCAAATGTTTACAGGCACCACTTGTTCAGTCCAGCTGTACTGCCTTGAGATTGTAGTTTTTTGATTTTTGGATTTTGTTCCCACAGCGTAGAGAAAACTATTGTGTGCATAGTTCCGTATTATTCACTTTTATCACCTTTACTAGCTTCTCTGTAGATTTTATCTGCAACGTAATTTACAATTTATAACTTCTTTAAACGGAATAATAATCCGCGGGATAAGAGAAAACTGCCCAATTTTAAATGAGTTGAAATGATCGATATGCACGCGGATTTCTTCCAAATTTCCTCAGGTTGTAACTTACAGTCTTTTACAGCATAATAAACGGCGCCGTTGGCAAGTACTGCTGAGTAACTTTCA